ATCTTGGACATTGGCTACATAGTTCAAAGTCCACGTTTTGTGGACATAAGTGGCGTTTCAAAAAAAAAATAAAGTAACAGCTAAATCCCGGGCATGGCCGCTCTCAAGTTCCGTTGAACCACCCGACCGGTGCGGATTACATTTCACTATTATCACGTTATTCATCATAATATATACATTTCCTTTTGTTTACTTGTAACATTCATTGTTATTGCTTTATTTGTTTATTTGTTTTATTTACTATCTATCAGTGATTTACAAGGTAAATAAGGTTATCTCTCATTTTTGGTAATTTCACTTTCCGCTCATTAGTTATATAATCGCACTATATTCGTGGAAAAGTTCGCGTGAAATCACTAAGTGAAAAGTGAAAAGTTCCACTGGAAATTACATGATCGCTGCCCTGGCCTTGACGATTGCCGTTGGATCGGCTACCCGGCCAATTATAATCGACAAGAAGAGAAGATGGCCGCTCTCAGGCTTCTCTCTGGTTTTATGATAAAACTGCCTGGCGGGAATTTTCAAAGGTTAATCGTTTACGTCTTGTGACATTTGCGTTTTATTTTTAGGTTATTATATACATAAAGTTTACATAAAATTTTTACGTATTGTTTACGTTAAGTTTATACGAATTATTTAATGTAAATATTACACATGCAATGTAAAATATGCAAATTGAATAAGGCGACACAGAAAAAAAGATTAAATTTATGACTGTTAATTAATTAAATGACAATAACACAGACGACGTATCTAAATCTGAAAAGTTATCAGAACCGGACTTTGCGTCGCGATATCTCCGTACTTGTGGGGCACGTAAAGAAAAAAAATAAAAGCATGTATTTTATTATACAACGACTTAACTATATTAATATAACAACTTAAATATATTAATATGTAAGTGAAACATATAGAAGCTTTAGTGCAGTCTAATACAACATTGTTACATTATGTTTTATGTATCTATATGCAGTTACATCTGTTGATTAACATAATCATGCCACGATCATGCAATTGACTGCGTTTTGTTACACATATATATTCACTGTATAAATATCGAAAATCTATAGTTCACATTGAATAATATGTATATACATACATCAGATTATAAGTTATACATAATTATAGATTTCCAATATTTATTATAAGTACTTGAAGTGAATAACAGGGACTTAGTAGTATACACGTATATAGATGGGTATATAGATTATTATATCTTATACGTAAACGCATATATATGTATATAACTCTGATTAGGAATTTTGCATTTTAAATAACGCAAAATTAATAATTTTCATTTACGTGTTAACAGTTTAATATAAACATAGCTCGATAAAAGTGAATCATTAAATTAATCGGAGTTCGATCGAAATCACCTTATTTCATTCGCGTGATAACTCGTGGAGAGACAACGTTCGAACGTTCGCGCGTGCGCCGCGCATATCGGCACCAATCGCGTGTACGCGCACGCGTCACTGGTGACCGGTCAGTCAGTTTCCGGTCGTGGTAGTATTCGGTGTGAGTATTCAGTAGTGTTCAGTAGTATTGCGGGATATTTGCGGGGAGACTTGCGGAGCGTGCAGAAAATGTCGCACGCGTAACGCGACGGTCGCTTGTTATGTTTGACCGTCCCGTCGCGGGTGATCTCGGTAGTGTACCGCGTCGTCGTCGCATCTTCGTCGCAGGAACAACCGCAGTTCAATTCCACGGACTCCCCAACATCTTCCTCGGCTCCCTGCTGTTACCCTCGGCGCCCACGATTCGGTGACACGGCGTCAGTGACGTGCGCGGTCCAAAGAAGCATGCAGTTCTACAAAGACAGGCTGCTGTCGTCCGGCCAGCTGAAACGGCTCAGCGAGCACAAGTACAGCTGTACGAGCAACAGCCTCCTCGACGGCCTCCTGCAGCCATGGTGGGACTGGCTGGTCAGCAAGGTGCCGCTTTGGCTCGCACCCAATCTCATCACCGTGCTCGGCCTGATTGTCAACATTGTCACCACCCTGATCCTTATCTATTACAGCCCTGACGCTAAGACCGAGGTAAATCTGACATTAGAAGCTACCAACTTGTCTAACCTGTCTCATGATGAAAACGAGACATGTCCCTCCTGGTTCTTCCTGATTCTTTCTGAACACCGTCGTATCTCTATGACCCGTTTTCTTATCATGAAAAAAAGTTATTTTGTATGTTACAACGGCTGTTTGCATGTTAATCTTTAAGTGGAGTAAGTCACAGCACCCTAGGCATCATTTTCCTTAACACTTTATTCAAGAAAATAAAAATATTGTCCAGATATCTTTGAAGTTCATTATTTTTACATTTCTCTCTCTCTCTCTCTCTCTGTTTTGAGCACCCTATTTATCAACTTATGTATCTATCTACTTAAAGGTTAATTAAAAAGCTGTTTGCTGTGACAGTTTTATTGGTGTTTGACTTGAAGTATCTCATAGTAACTATTCATTATTTAAATTTTGTGCAAGTGAAATTTTTTAATCATGTGAAAGCTCTTTTATTATTTGTTACAGGTAAACTCTGAAAAAAAAACCCTTAATTTTGGAATTTTCTGACATTTTTTATATGTTAATTATATGTATATTAAAATATGAATTAAAAAATCAGAATACATGTATCTGTTGTCTACTTTTTAAACAATTTTGTATTATTTTCTATAATTTTAACTTTTTTAACTAAGGCAGGATAATATTTTCATGTTAATGCATTTGAAATTATTATTTTAAATTTGATTTATTTCTTAAAAAAATTTTGTGTAATTAATCAAGATGAAAGACATTGTGAATCTCATCATAGAATCAATTTTCTGAAGAGGTATTGTTACTAGCAAATATGCAACATCATGCAAATATAAAATGACTCATCAATATAACTCTTCTATTGATATTGTCATAAATTTGAATGGCATCTATGCAATTGTACTCAAATTTACTTTAACTTTAAAGCTATTGAACAAATGTATCTTTATATGAAAAATCTTGTGTCACAATTGCTTTTTATATAATATAATAGTAAAAATATTATAATTACATTAAAATTGACTATTGTTTTTCTTTCAGGCACCTAGATGGGCATGTTTTTTATGTGCACTTGGTCTGTTTATATATCAAAGTTTGGATGCTATTGACGGTAAACAGGCAAGGAGAACTGGCACGTCTACACCATTAGGCGAGTTGTTTGATCATGGATGTGATTCGATATCAACAGGTAGATAACTATTGCACTGTCTCTTTATAACCTTATGCATTAGAAATATTTTCATTTCTGATTTTTTTTTCAGTGTTTGTAGCTTTGTCAGCATGTATAGCTGTACAATTAGGATACTATCCAACGTGGATGTTTTTCCAGTGTTTTTGTGCAATGACACTTTTCTACTGTGCTCATTGGCAAACTTATGTTTCAGGTATAAAACAATTTTGTATAAAAAAATAAAATAATATAATTTATTATTTAACATAATTCTCACGAGTACAGTCTAATAAAATTCTCATATTATTCATTATTTAATTTTATTTATTTAAAATATTGTTTTAATAGGTTCCTTGAGATTTGGTAAAGTGGATGTAACAGAAGCACAGTTTACAATCATAGGTATTCATCTGATTTCTGCAATCTTCGGTCCACAAATCTGGATGATAGAGGTTGTATTTTTTATAAATCACGCTTTGTGTATTTTACATAGCATGAATATCTTGTGTAACAGTTTAACACGTTTCACGTCTTTTTTTATAAATAATTTATTGTTATAATAGTTTTTATTTTATTAATAGTTTATTTTATTTTAATTTTTTTGCACGGCTGCTATTTAATAAACAAGAATATTACATTCTGCTTTACTGGTTCTTTTTTTTTTCAAAGATAATCACAGTATTATTCTGAATTATTGCTAACACAAAGTATTTATTTAAAATGTACACCACACGCTTATATAACTGCTTCTACTACAGTTTTTACGCAAATGGCTTATGGCAATATTTGTCAAAGATAAAATTAAATAGCTCGACATTGTAATTTGCATTTTAAAAAATGTAACTCATAATATAAGCAAAATAATACAATAAAATTTTGCTTATATTGCTATGGGTTTCAGATTTTATGGTAAGTAATTTTGATAGTTTGACACACATATGTCATTATAAAATCTATATAAAAAGTGTAGTATATTTATAAAATGTAGATTATATTATTATTAATAATAATCGTAATTTTTTTCAATGTCATTTTTATTACATCTGTTGAGCATGTAAACAAAGTTAATTAATTTATTAGCATGTACTATTAATCTTTTTTACTTAGATAAAATCCTAAGTGACGGAAATTGAATACAATGTATATTATTATGCTCTAAAGTTCGATTTCTTGTATAATTTACATCTCATTAATTATTTTTTACACATATATATATATATACACATACACAGGTCGAAACATATATATTACATTCCAAAAAAATCATACTTTGCTGCTTAAAAATTATCCATATGATTTTTGCCTTGAAAGATTTTACTATGGTACTCATGATCTACATAACTACTTAATGAGATAATATCATTATACATATATACATACAATGTCATTTAATGAAGGTATTTTTTGCAGATACCATTCTTAGATGGTTTTATGTTTAAGTATTTATTAGGAGTTATGACAGTGGTGTGTGCACTGGCAAATTTATATTCCATATTTTCGGTGATTTTCACCGGAGGAGTGGGCAAGAATGGTTCCACTGTGGCTGTAAGTCTGTTAACTAGAATCTTTTATTGAACATGCAGAAATGGGAGCAGCATGGCATGAGGAGCGGCGCTGAGATTACTTCTTTACTGCAAAATATTTACTGATTTTTAACACGCATTTTTACTTCCATATTCCCTACTAAATTATGCCCTCTTATACTCTTGTTTTCAATATCTCCACATCCTATGACTCTTATAATGAATTGTATATATATCATTATATGACTGATAAGTGTACTTCTTCCATATGTAAATTCATATTTTCACGTTTTCAGCAAGTTATTAATGTTTTAACATATTGTAAAAACACAACTGTAAAAATTTTTCCTGATACAAATGATGTTTTTCAATGTAAAATTAAACGTAGTCTCATTATGTTTGCCTTTTGATGTTATATTTATGATGAAAAATCTTATGATCGCCTTTTGATATTGTATTCATTATGAAAAATCTTGATCGCATCAGCTTTTTTATAAATATACATAACAATACTCTCTTTTGAAACGATTTCAAATTAAGGTATAAAGTTTTTAAACAAAGGATAACGTAGATAAATATTAGGAAATTTTGATTTTTTTATTTATAGTGAATATACAATACATTCTTTATCATACTATTTCTAAAGAAAATACAATTAGCACATTTGTCTACAGATAAAACACTAAGCCTGCGAAATCTACACATTAGATATAACAAAAAACTGACTTTCTTTCACATTGAAAACTATGATATCAGGGTGAGATCTTTAACTTTCGACTCATCTTACTCAAATCAGCTGCTCCCTCGTGCCTTACAATCTTGCAATTTTATTGCAATGAGAAATGAGCATGTTCTGTTTATACATGCTTACAGCAAATACGACCACAGATAGAACTAAGCCCATCCAGAGCAGTATTATTGCCGTAATAGTATCGAGAGATATAATTACATCAGTTTGTGTATATATGTAGGCATTCACATATACAAGAACAAATGTAATAAGCAATTCTCATAACGAACGAAGATCTTGTCGCTTTGTTTAGATCCCCATGCTCGGTGTAGGCACGTTCAATAACTACGTAGCATTGGTCTTTTATGCAGGCTACGTTCATGTGTTCCTTGAATTCTGTAAAGTCTTTGAATCTGGTGGGATTGGAAAAAACGGTTCCACAATTGCAGTAAGTCTCTTAACGAAATGGCGTTCTCCTAGAGCAACGTATTTTCATATCTTTTGCCATTCTGTACAGTAGAGATATTGTCTGTTTGGTACAATTTCTTCATTTTCTGCTTGTTGTCTTCTCTATATCGATCTCTTCTGGGAAACTTATGCTAGATGTTTGGTTGAATTACTAAACGTCTATGTATGGCCGTCTGCATATTAAACCACCAGAGTTATATATCATATCTCGGTATCTCACACAATTTATAATATATAAATGCTACTTTTGTTTAATATAGATATCGCTCTTCATATAACAAGCTCTCAATAATCTCTTTACTCGAGAAATGTTTTTATAAACATACTTCTATTGTTATAATAATTAAGTAATTGTAACCTGGATTTAAAAAATGATTAATTCCAGAAATACTTTAAAGAGACCTTAAAAAGGTATATTAAGTTAATTTTTATTTATACATGCTAAATTTTATAATGCCATATTGGCATATTTAATTATACAAGACGTGAAGTTTTACTTACTGCGTAGTTTTTACATTTCTATTTTATTATAGATACAAGGTATTTGAGTAAAAAGACTATCATTCGCATTTATTGAAACTTGCTATATGTAGTTTGTTTTGTGAAGTATGCCTGCAAAGAAAATGGTGTGTGTTATTTTATATGTGAAACAAAAAGTCCAACACTTTTGTATATAACCGAATGTTGCACAGTGATAGCTTTAATATCTACAAATCTTTTTTTTTTCTAATTTAAACTCGGATTTCGCGTTACCATATGTTGTTTCTTGCACTTATTTAATTACATGTTCATGATATTGTAGCAAACTCTTTGCCTTGCACCTTTATAATTTATAAATAAATTTATTCTTCTCTTTATTATTTTTCAATTGCAAAGATTAGCTCATTGCTCAAAACAACAGAAAGAAAGAATTTTCAAAATTCTATGCAAATTTCTTAGATAATAAATGAAAAACTTTCGTATTTACAATATTATTACAAATAGCAGTTAAAATTTATAGAAACAATAAGAAACAAAAATAATAAAATTTGTTTAAATGCATATAAAATATTAAAATTAAAAAAGTATTTTATTATGTAATATTGTATATATATATATATATATATTTTCATTTTATTAGTTTTATGATAGTATAAATTGTAATTAACACGTTGAAATGTACGAAATTGTTTCAAAAGTAAAAATAGCAGATGTATTCCTTAATCTTTGACCTCACGTTTATATAATTAACATATCACGGATATAAAGTATTAGAGAGTCTTTAATACGAGGATAGCCTCTGATGACTAATCAAAAGATCTTTCGTGTCGCTCTTATACAGTTGCCATACACTGGCACAGAGGTGAAGGTGTTTCCGTTATGGGCTGCTGTGGGCATCGCTATTTTACTTGCACAGAGCAGCATATCCGTCATTCTCGCCGGTGGTGTCGGAAAAAATGGCTCCACCGTCGCAGTAAGTCAGCTGAAGAAAAAAGTAGTGGGACCAATTGTGTAGTGCACAATATCATGTCTGATTTCTTTTTAGTTCATGATTTAGGCCCATGATTTTGAACATGTCGCGTAGGTATAAAAAAAAAGGTTTGCTTGGGAAATTTCCTTATTACTTATTATACCGAATTAATAATTCGATATGCATTTTAATTTTTTTACTTATATATAAAAAATGTATGATCTAAAAATAATTAGTAATAATAATAATAATAATAGATCTATTTTTTTCCTTTAGACGCAACGGTGGGCCTAAATCTAATGGCGTCGTATAAGATTACTCATCACTGTTACTGTTTTCACTTATGTTAATATTTGTTATATTACATACTTCCCTATAGAGGAATCCACGCATATCCCTTCACTTTTCGCTTTCTTCTTTATATTTTGCAGTTATAGAATAGTTCTCTAATTTAATTTCCGATTCTCACTTGAAGCCAAATTCTTGCACGCATGTTACAAAGCTGTAGAAGAGTAGAAATGCATAACATAATGATTTATTATATCATGATATTGCGATTTTTTTATTTTACTTATACATACATTTTACTTATATTGAGTAGATGTAGCATATATTGCATGTATCAGACGAAATTAATATTTTATTAATTATTACAATAATAATTAAAATTACATCCCTTAATTTGATCTATAAAGACGTCTTTACCTGACGTATTTGATACATTTTGATAATTTACTTACTGCATTATAATTTGAATAAATATAATAGTCAAACTTTAATTTCTCTCCACGTGTTTTTTTTGCTTAGGACTTATTGTATTTTTATTTTTTCACTTACAGTTTTTCTTATCTCGAACGCACAGAGCCAGCATACAATAGCTATTGTATATTTATACCTATTTTAAAATCTATTACTAATGTGATTCTATATTTTTTTAAAGCAATTGTTTTACAAGTACAAAATATATATAAAATAAATTTATACATGTGTCTAGTTTATGACATATCTTTACATCGACTGATACAGATTACTTATTTAAATAAAATATAAAAAGATTTTAATATACATTTTTTAAAATATGTAACATCTATCGGATTAAGTTCTGCATTTGATCGGACCATATTTTTGTTTCTTACAAATATAAATCTCTGCACGTAGATTTACTTGAATATCGTCTTCAGAGTTTCTGCATAAGACCAATTTTGTTTTAGGGGACATCCGTTTTATCTCCAATTATACCATTTAGTTTTGTGGTAGTACCGGCTTTTATAATATATAGAAAAAGCGCCGAACATGTTTACGAAAATCACCCAGCTCTGTATATACTTGCGTTTGGAATGGTGGCGGCCAAAGTTACGAATAGACTAGTGGTATGTATATTGACTGTGTATTTGTAATAATATCCTTTCTTATTGGTGATAATATATTACTATATATTTGTGATATACTAATTTTTTTATAATGTTGCTTTTCAGGTTGCTCATATGACTAAAAATGAAATGCAATACCTGGACAGTTCGTTAATTGGTCCAGCTATGCTGTTTCTTAATCAATATTTCAACTTTTTCATCAAAGAATACTACGTTCTTTGGCTGTGTTTCGTAAGTTAATGCTTGATGTCTATCTTTACGACATAATCTTCCAGGATCTTGATAAATAACGAAACACATATATTTAGATCTGGGTCACTCTGGATCTTTTCCGGTATAGTGCTCAAGTGTGTCTTGAAATATGCGATCACATGAAGATCAAGCTATTCAGGATACCATGCAATCACCACACAGGCACTATCCAGATCAATGCCGCCGAGAAAAATGGTACTAATAGGTCACAACGTAACAGATTGCATAAGAAACATCATTAGGATTGACTGGTGATAATAAATGCTCTGTATGATTCGTGTATAAAAAAAATCATGATATAACAAAGTGAAAACGCTTGTTGAATTTTGTGTACATATAGTTCGAATAGTACAGCTCATTTATTATCACATTTGTAATTTATGAATTCGTCATTTCAAACTATAAGAACTTAGGAAATAAATAACTTATGATTGAAGAGTCTTATAATTTCTGCACGTAGAATGCGGCAACGCTTGCTGCTTTGCGAAAGTTGTGGTAGCTAATTAATTTATCCATTTTCCATAAAAGCGAAAGAATAATTGACTACCGCGCTAACTTCTACCGTGCGGCAAACGTTGCCGCGTCTTGTGTACAGGGGTCATTAGTTGAATTGATTAGCAATTATTAAAAATTTTTAGTGAAACGTACTGTACATCAAAGCAAGAGAGTGCCACGGGATTGTATAATAAAAACTGCACTTGCTCCATACTTATAAGAAAAGAAAATAATAAATTAGAATTTAGAATGTTCGAAATGAGAGACACATGAGATATAATACATAAGTCTGTATGAGGATGTTATAAGTTTGATATGAACTGCATTAAATTTTCAAATATCTTTGTTTTCGGTATGTCTGATTCTGATATCTCGTTCATAGGACATTTATTATAATAATATAATAGAGATTATGTACATCAAACATGGCAAGATCAAAAATCTCATCATCGTTTGTAAAGAAGTAAGTTTCTTAATAATTAATATCTAAAATTATTTTCTAAATACTCATTTAATGAGTTATGTTTTTTAATAAGATTTGTTTATTTGATTATCTTTTTACAACTCTCTTATTATTAACAATTCGTTGATAATGTTTTTGACAAAACCGAATAATTTTTTTTTTTTTTCAAAAATTTCAATTAGCAAGTTGAACTTGGTATTTGTATTTGTTAAAACTTGTAAAGTTTATCAAAAATTTGTTTAAATATGATGTTTATGAGTATAACGAACTGTGTGAATTTCATTTTTGAAATGTATAGTTTTCGATCATATGGAATGCGTCGTGATTGTTTTCTATTTCTGCTTTTATGCGTGTGTTCGTGTATTTGATAACAAAGAACATTTTTAACGAAGATACGATAAATTAAATTATGTGAGACATGTTAGAACATAAAGAGACTAAAGACAGTTTCGACTTTATACTAGATACGTTTGTTTACTTCTACGTCAATAGATATGACAATAGATACAATTAAGACGAGCACTTTATTAAAAGAGCTTTATAAGTGTCATATATATTCTATGAGAAGCGTATTTAAATATACTTCTATGTATTTTATATGAAACGTTATACAAGCAAATGGCAGATACATGCTTAACTCTTATTTGTACATTATATTATACTTTTAATTTTGCTAGTTTGATGTTCTCTCATAAATAATAGTTAATGAATCATTTTGCTAATAGAGTTGAATGTAAAATGTAAAACCTTGATGTATGATAGGAAGTGTTACTGTTTATAATTTTTTATTATATTACATATTCCTGAAGAAATGTCAATCTAGGAAAGTAATATATAACAAAAGGACTGTTTTTATATTGACAAGACATCTTAACTGCGATAACTTTTCTTCAAAATGTTGATATATATGGAATTCTTTTCTTATTTCTATCGTGTATTAACAACAATTCCGGGTAATTAAAAGGAATTGATTATTGCTAGAAATAGATGAAATAAAATTTATTGTTCTAATTATGTTTCTTTAAAGACAGTACATGTAAGTGTTATATTGTGTGTGAATGAAGTGTAATTTTATCGAACTGTACTATATTTCAAATTTCCTTTGAGAACTGTATTATATTTTCTGGATAAATCAGTTTATTATTATAAAATACCATTTTTTTATTCTAGTTTAACCAATCTTGTCAAGAAAAGTTTTTTTGATAAAGACTAATTTGTTCAAATCATTAAAAAATTTAATATTAATTTTGTGCTTATATCCAATGTGGTAATATCCAATAAAAAAAATGTGTTTGTAAAAAAAAAAATAGATTTATCGGAAGAAAATGTACCAACAGTAAGAAATTTTATATATAATGGTGCATCCAATTTTTTAGAGAAATACAGTTAGTAATAATAAATTTAGGATATTACGCAGACGATAATATATGCATGTTCATGCTTTAGTTTGTTGCTGTGCAAAATTTGCTTCAAAAATAACATGAAAGTATTATGATTATCATTGTATGTGAGAGGGGAGAAGGAAATTTGTGTTAGAATATATTTTATATATACAATGAAAATTTATCATTATACTTATAAACTTTATAGCAATATATTGTATGTATTTTATGAACGGTAACTTCTTGCATGATTTCGAATCGTCATCTGCATGTGCTAATTGGTCTCCAAATAAGCTTTAATGTATCCATATATTTGTAGGATAAAATTAATGTACAATTTGCTACATTTATATAGACTAAAATTGAATCCTTTTTTGATAAGAAAAAAAAGAAACAGCTTATAATTCTTATATTGAAAGTTGGCGTATTATAAATTACAAGTTCTTGGCATTCTTAGCTTTAATCGATGTAAAATGAGTAATACTAACATTTTGTATAGACTGATTGTTATTTTGAGAATCGGTTTAGATATAGTAAGACTGATAGTAATAGTAAAGTATTCTATCAAATCATAGATAAAGATACTTTTTTTTCTCTCTTTTTCACATCGAAAAAAATAATATTTTATTTCAGTAATATTTAAACAGATTCTTTTTTGTAGTGTTACAGTATCAATGACTTGCGAATTATATTTTTTTTTGTATGTAAAAGTGCACGAATTTTTATCTTTTATCTTTACAGGATATTGTACATCAGAATTATTTTTTGCATGTTTTTCTGCCTGCTGCTTGGATTTTGCCTTTAAGCCATTGTGAGAGAAAAGTTCAGAACACATTATATTGTATAATATAATACTACTAGTTGAACAATGTAATACATTTACATTTTTAGAGATTTTTTTAGAAGAAGCAAACTTCTAATTATTAGAGGAAATGAAGCATAGATTATACATAAGATTAATAAATATAATATTGCTTGCTTAAAGCTATATAATATTTTAAGAAAGATACATAAGTGTTCGGCGCACATAAAAGCAAACAGTATTATATTTGTTTCTCTCAGCATGTATTTTAGACAGAAAACTCAAATAGGATTTTTTTATGTCCACACATCTTTTCTAACAAAAATTAAAATGTATTTAGAATCGAGAAATGTAAAAGTAACAAGAGAAATTTTTTGTTCTTTAATTTACTTTTTTAATTTTGTTTCTTTTATTATTTCTTGCAAGGAAAGTTTTAATCAATCTTTTATATAATATCAAAAAAGAACGGATAATATCCAATGAATATCTAATTATACTTGGAAATATTTTTTGAGTTTGGAAGAGCGGAGAATGTTGATTTCACTCCTACATTTCTTGATTGAGCTGTATACATGAATTTTCGCGGTTTTAAATATTCCGGCAAGAAAAGGAGAAAAATGGAGGAACAAAGGAAAACGCTGTTGAAGATGTCGTAGAGATCGTTAGAATATATGTGTCAATGTTTGTATTCGTTGGTGTGCATGATGACGAGTTTTGTTCACAGTTCACATGATGGTGGAGGAAGAACCGCTGTTAGACGAGGAATACCATCACGGATCCGACACGGCCCTCGACCTCTGATACATATTAACTTTAAGCTATTGGTTTATCGATACCACACGTGACCATTGAAACAATAACGTCGTACAAGTCTATGGAAATAAAGTTCGTGTCGATCCCGCAGAATGTCCGATATTGGGCAATATCCGCGCGACAACGATTGCACGAGGAATGAACTTGTGTGTCTCACCCTACAAATGCATGGTGTATCTCGCATACGTGTTCGTGTGTAGAGAAGAGATTTGTCCTGCATCTCCCTTTTATATCACAATATTTTGTACATGCCGTTTCGATATTATATGTACAATTATATTAGATTCTCGACGGAAACAAAGAGCGATTATTGACGATACGATTGTACGAGCGAAGTCGCTTTTTTCTTTGTTATGTGTGTGCTTATCAGTGAGGCTACTTAAAATGGCATTACTTAAATGGGTATATAGGAGAACGAGAGAAGGATAGTCCTCAATATTACAAGTCTAGTTCTTCGCGCAATGTGTGCTATTAGCGAAAAATATTTGTACGTAATTTTATATGTAGTAAAGTCAGAATCAACGAATTATGCTTTTTGTTAGGATCGCGTCAAAGGGGATCCCGAGAATCTCCAGTAAAGCCGATAAAATGTATTTGGAATATAAACATTGTTAAAAGTAGATTTTCATTAAATATAGAAAGCGATATTTTAACTTGCTAATTTTTGAATCGTTAGAATACGATTGCTCGTGACGCAGTTTCTTTCTTGCGTGCGATATCAGCAGAAAGGCTGTTGGCATCTTTTATACAGTAACAATAATGCAGGAAGGACAAGCAACTTCGAATGTTTGCAGGAAATCGTTAAAACGATTGCTCGTGACGCAGTTTCTTTCTTGCGTGCGATATCAGTAGAAAAGCTGTTGGCATTTTTTATACAGTAACAATAATGTAGGAGGGAAAAGCAACTTCGAATGTTTGTGCAGGAAATCGTTAAATATATGTATAAGTTAGTAAGAAACGAACGAACACTACAGTATTGCAAATGTTGTAATTCTTTCGCGTGTCTGTATTTTAATGTGTCTATTATTTGCACGAAATTTTTATTTGCAGATTAAATCTGTCGCATTAATGTTGATTCATTTAATTTTCACGAACGCTAGAGATTTAATATCTGTCATGTTGGATCATGATCTGCTAATCTGTCTGATCTGTGGTGTTCGCACAGTATGAGATAATGCTGATTCTAAGACACTTTTATCTCAACGAAATCACATAATTTATTTATTATAAAGTTCATATGATATTTAATAAAATTTATATAAGCGCGATGAGTTTCCTTCAAATTTTCCCAATTTGTCCAAAGACACAGAAGGGTATTACATATAGATCTATCAATTTTCTTTCTCTTTAGGAAACTAAATCATGTACGGCATATTTTATATTGAGAGAGAATTCCTTATAAAAATTTAATACTATATGGGATAGAGTGGTTGATTTCTTATTCTCAGAATTAAAAGCACACTATTATATTCAGTGCTTTTAATACTCGAATTAAATTGGATTGTTATATGAAAAATGTTATAATTTCTCTTCGTGTCGTGTTACGGCTCTTTATATGTTAGAACAAAAAATATGCTTGAGTATATTATTACAGATAGATTAATCGATGAAAGAACACGTGCGTTTACTTGTCGCGACGAGGGTAGCGAGTTACAGTTATTGGCATATCAGTTATAACGAGTTTCAGAATGAAACCGCCCCTCATTGCCCGCGACCTTCCCGCGTAAATTCCCACGTGGAAGATTTTGGGTGTACTGTGCAGTCTCCCTCCTCCCTTTCTCCAGAAAAAGACATCGAAGACGGCACCTTTGCCCTTCGCCCTGCCACTGGTCGGTCTGTCGACCTAGTCGACGCCCCGCAAGGTTCTGGCCTCGTTCCTAGCCTCGTGTGCGCGCCACCCGCCACCTTCCTGCGTACTCCCGGACGTTCAGCTGAATCTGATGAGACGTGTTATTGATCCGGCTGTGATGACGCCGCGCGAGTACGCCAACCGGGCCACGCGACGTGCCTCTGCACGCAGGGCCGAATTAAAGAGCTCACGTTGTTCAGTTCGGTGAAACGTTTTTAAAGACCATATTTTTCGGGTAGAGATTACAAAAGCATCTCCGAACTTGCTGGAGATGCCTTGTCCTGCAATGCGTGTTCTTTTATTTTGAAGTCGATATATCGAAGTTAATCCCTTCAAATCTGATTTTAATCGAATTATGTTAAACAGTTTTTTCAATTATCAATTTAAAGGTACTTTAATAAGTAATTCATAAGAGATTTTTTTTTTAAATTTTAACTACATTCTTTGTATTTTTATATACGTCTAATTTTACATGCCGATAGAGTTAAATTTTAACGGATAATAATGTCTTCAATGTACATTGCAATATACACAGGATTTGAAAGGTTTTTTGATATAATTCCAACAGACTTGAAAATAATTAAATTAAGATGATGGAAAAAATCAGAGATAATAGGAATTATTTATTGATGATATAGAAATCTTGTTGATTATCGCATTGAAAATGTGAAGAAAAGAGAAGATGTAAAATATTACTTAATAATGGAAGAAACTTAATTAATTTGTTGGTTCTGGTATTGCAGACAGATAGCATCAAAGAAGTTAAGTTTACAGTTAAATTACTATATTGTTTTTATAGTAATATTAGATAATTATATTTAAATATAAAACGCGATATTATAAAAAGTGAGATATCGAGATTGTAATTGACGTAAAATAAAATTGTGTTTGACATCCTTGATCGCACTAGCAAAATAAACAATGATTTTCTGTATTCGTCCGTGTATAAATACCTTAAGAAAAGAAAAGTCATGTGTTCAATAGTATCTGCAAAAATATTTGCTCTGTCCACAGCATATTTTTCCTACGCCATACACAAAGACAAATATTACACACGCGCTCTCTGCTCTACGCCCTATATCAAAAAATCAATACAGTCTAATACGGTCTATATTCCGTACAGCAAAAAAAAAAAAAATAAAATAAAAGAGAAAAGAGAATTGGAAGAATTTGAGTTTAAGCCGAAACTCCGAAGGAGACCCGACCCATTCTTTCTCCGCTCGTTACTTGGCCGCGCTTTAACCGGCGGCCAAACGGACCGGGATGTCGGACGTGACGATGGTTGGAGCCTAATAAATGAGAAATAAAATGGAAATTCACCTTTAGAAGCGGAATCGAGGCGGCTTGCGCCGTTACTGGAGGCGCGTCCAGCGTCCACGGACCGTGCGCTTGCCTGGTACCGTTTCTGGCGAACGATCAGCGTCGCGACGACGGCCGCGAGGCTCCGGGGCGCGTCGGCGGCCGCCAGTGCGATATCGCCATTTGGCTGATACGGAACGCCGTCGGCCCGACAATCGTTCGTATGGCGATCGGACGAGGACCGAACACGATCGTTCTCCGCGTTAATACGCATTGCAAAACGTAAGTGTCTTTGTGAGCGAATAACGACGCGAGCACGACGACGACGCCGCGACGTCAAAAGGGATTTTATTTTTCAATAAAATTATATTCGTAGAATGATCCCGGATCTGCCTCGGAACGGCCTTGGGCTAATAAAATAATTTCCGCGGATACTAATTCTTTTTCTTTACGCTTTAATTCTTTCCTTCCTCGGGGGGAGGAGGGTTGATCGTAGAATGATCCCGGATCTGCCTCGGAACGGCCTTGAGCTAATAAAATAATTCCCGCGGATACTAATTCTTTTTCTTTACGCTTTAATTCTTTCCTTCCTCGGGGGGAGGAGGGTTGTTCAATCGAATCTCTTATCTCGTTACGATTCGCGAATCCGAGCAATGCTCCCCGTGTAGACGACTGTCAGAAAGGTGAAACCGTCTCTCCCGGCGGGGCTCGTTCATACCTCGGGATCGATGCGGTGAAGCAATCTCGGCACAGCGTAATTGTTCGGCGAACTTAAAGCTCGAATCCGTTTAATTGAGTTTCTCGCACGGATTATGGCTACAAAAGTCTTAACATTCTCCGACCGAGGTAAAAAGACGGCGATTTTGAATTCTTTTCTCGTTACAATCCGTGATTGAAACGTTTCTCAGCAAATCTGCCGAATCAATTAATCGAATGTACTATTCGCGGTCGTAATAAAAAATATCGCGATCGACGTTCGTCAAGTCGATATAGTATATGACGATTGAAGTCACTCTCCGGGAGCAGCTAAACTCGACGAGGTCAACTCGTTAACTGCCGTATCTTATCGAAACAGGTCACCCGCAGGTATACGTGTTATATTTAACGTCGCAGCTGGACGCAACTTTTCGACATCTGGGCGGAAATAATTCCGGATGTTATTATTGCTGCGTCTTTACATCTCGGCGATACCATTCGCGCCTCGGGAAGGTGGGTTGAATAATTGATCGCGGCACGCTCGGGAGTCGAGAGAATTGGTGAATTGTTGAGCGCGACCTTCGGCCAGATAAAATGCATCGTTGAATCTTTGACAAATGAGTTTTTAACGTAATCGATACTTCAACGAGTTTCGCTGTCGCATTGGAAACACGTGTTAATGTCACGCATAATTTTACTTTTTAATTTATGCGAAATAATTGATTTTTATAATTTTATGGGTCAAGAAACGAAGCGTATTGCAATTAGTAGCCGACTTTAGGATACCACACGTTAAAAAAACAACTCATATTTGCAATCTGTTTAGAGCGACGACAGCTAATTTTGCATAATTTTTGCAAATAATTTTATACATAGGAGGCTGCAGTTTAATGAATCAGTAACGTTTTTTTAACTCTCTCTCTTTTCTTTTTTTACCAAAATTTGATTTATTTTTCAACATAATCTCCTTTTAAAAGTCATCGATTTATCAAACAGTTTACGTATTATACGTATGAATGGTATAAAAGGTTTCCTTTAAGGTCGAAGAGTTTAATTAATGTCACCGCGATTTATTCCTTCATCTTTTGAGAGCTTGAGAGAAAATAAGTTTGCGAATAAATGTCTTAACTTCAAGATTAACTATATCTCAAGTTCTCCATCCAGTCTATCGTTTCAAAATTGAAAGATTTGCTACCACTGCAGCGACGTAATCCATTCTCTTCTTATGAAATGGGATTTAAATAAAATTTTCAAATTAAAATAAGAAATAGGAATTAAATGCGATTTTCTCATTAAGATTGAGTTCTTCAAATCATTAACGCAGAATACGGATTAGATCACCGAATGTCGCACTAAACTTTTCGATCGTTTTTTTTTCATGCACAGAAAAATATACACAAAAAAAGAAGAACATTCGAGGATCGTCTAGATTCTAGATGATGTCTGAAACTTCCCAGACGAATAGAAAAAATCTGGATAATATCCGAAAAATCGGATCTCGTTTGTCGTCGGAGCGACTCTTTTTTCGCGACAATCAAAAGCATCCACGTACAGTTTCAGTCTGTAATTGTCTGCCATATATCAACGGTACAATCGAACACGGAAGTACGTGGCTTCGTGCACATGACTTTGTCGTCCCCGTCTATCGTTGCGTCACGGCGCGAAATACAAGATGAGGCTCGATATTGGAATTAAACATGCCACGCGCATGCACGCTCTTTCCCTTGTTCCCTTTTACCCCCGACACGGTGACACAGATATCCTTTTTGGGCCTCCGGAATCATTGATCTTCTGAAATCCGTCCGAACCGGCTGCTGCCCTACGGCCTCTTCTGCCCATTTTCGCCCTTTGCTTTAGGGAAGTTGATCTGTTACCGCCAAACACCTCGATCAATTTGGTTGTAACTGAAATTTAAGAATTAAAAAAATCTTTGATATGTAATTCAAGTAATTTTCAAAGATTAAAATGGTTAATAATTTTGATAATATATAACTGAGCTCAAGTAATATCACAGTGTGATGGCAAATCAACATAAAATTCAATGAAACTATAAAATTTAAGATTTGATGGAATGTAGCAATAAATAATCCCTCTTTTTAAACGTTCAACCTTTTAATCTTGGTATATAATTTTTAAAGGTTAAAATGGCTGGACATTTATTAATTCTAATATTAACTTTCCGACACGAAATGTCACAATCAAATGACGTCAAATTGACATAAAATTCAGTAAAGCTTCAGTCATATGATTTCATTTGACTTTATTATAATAATCGAATGTTATTTAGATAGAAGTTTTACGAAAACGAGATAACTGATGTGTAGTGTAATTAAAACTTTAAAAGGTGGAAGCAATTTATGACATCAACAATTTTAAATTTTAAAGAAAATTATAGCATGAAGTTTAATTAAAAATATTAAATTATAACATGAAGTTTAATTAAAAATATGATTATCCTCAAGATATCTTTTAAAGAAAGAATATTGTGTTACCATGCTAGCTATACTCTCTCTACCGAGAAATACTTTATTAAGAATAACGAAGTAAAAGCGGATGTTATCTACAAATTCATTTCGCTCGAAAGTAATTATAGCGGAAGTTTAATTAATCCAGACTATTCAGGAAATAGTAAAACAAGGACAAGTCAATTAATTGCAACCCCTCTAAATCTCCATTTGCAGGTGGGATAAATAAGCGAGAGAATGGTACAATCATGATTCAAGCTGGAAATGATTCTGAAGAGAGTTCAGCAGCTCGGATGTCCTGTATACACTGTATACAACGGTGACACAGCTGCACCCACATAAATCACAGCCATGGATATACAGAAGAAATTCCTGTGCCCCCGATTGGTAGATTATCTTGCCATCGTGGGGGCCAGGATGCCTGCTGCCTCTCGTCAGCCCGTACAGGTATAACAATTAACGTGGAACGTTAAAATCTGTATTGGCATAAACAAACACTGCATTAAAACAAAGTATAATTTAATTGCGCTATAACTGTGTACACTCTCAGTCGTCTTAAATTTAGTAGGTAATTTCGAGAGTCATAAGGAAATTTATTTTTTTTTCGTTATAACAATGAAATGTATTGGGAATTTCATGATTTAACCCGTTTTTATATTTGTATTAAATCATGGCATGTCTTTATGTCAATTTGTGTACGACGGATTTAATATATAATATGCACCAGTGCGTCTAATCGATTTTGCCATGAGCTGCTACTTTCGAGAAAGTAAAATATTAAAAAAATAAATGATAAAATACGATTTTGGGAAAGGAAATGAGATTTTTATTTAACACAGATCCCGGAGTTACTACGCAGATATCCGGTGGAGGATCACAAGGATTTTCCTCTGCCTCTGGATATGGTGTACTTCTGCCAACCGGAAGGTTGCAGTAGCATGGGACCAAAACGCACGGCCTTACGAGAGGCAACGTCCTTTACCTTCACCCTCACCGATAAAGATTCAGGTTCGTATCCGTTCTATTTGCGACGCATGCGAGATTTTTAACAAGCCGCATTACGTTAAAAATATTTTGCAAAACGTAGGAAAAACGCGTTATGGGATCTGCGTGAATTTCTACCGACCTACTGAAAGAGCGGGGGTCGTGGCTGGCGGGGGCGTTTCGCTCAAGAGAGAAAAGTACAATACCACGTTTCGTAGAGAAAGCTGGAGGAAGAGCATGGAGAGAAGCACAGATTCCGCTTTTTCTAGGTGAAATGGCTTATACTTATTGGCCTTCTTTTGATTTTCACGATCAGGAAAAAAATTGGAATATAATTCTAATATATATTCAGAACGGTTATATATTTTATATATTATAGTTATAAAAGACAACGAAACTTTTCGTTTCTCAAAACTAAGATTTCAAAGTGATTGATTCTTTAGAATCGAAAGATCAAAATTTGTGTTTTAAACAGCCCGAATAATTCGCATCCGACAGATTGTCTCATTTATAAGACTGTATCTCTAGCCGTTTGTTATAGCGACTATAGGAGCAGTGCAGTGGGTCCCAGTGACTCTGAGAAAGATTGCTCTAGTAGCAGGAGGGATTCAGACACCCCGCAGGTACCCCACGCCCCAAGATTAGAATTCATCGCACCGAGTGGAGATAGCGAGAGCGGCGGCAGTCATTCCCCTTCGCCACGTGCATCTCGAAGACGTCAGGTTGATACCACTGACTAATATAACAGCACTAGAAACTTTATTACTCTATTAATTTCTTCGGATCTATTTGACCCCAAAACACGATTAATTTTTTTGGTAACATACTATTTTGAAATTTTTTTCTTTGGTATTTTTGATGCCTTCATCTGTTAATGTAAGGTTTTTTCTGTGAAAATTTTTTATCTTTTAGTTTTCATAATTGTTTTAATTATTATGCCCTAAACAATACAATTGTATAATAAATTTTAACGAATCATCAGGATTAGTAATTAATTTGCTCAGAAAGTATTTTAAAAGGATTAAGAATAACATATAATATGTCATATCAACTATGTTAAAGTTCGCCAATAACGACTTTGCAATGTTCTCACAGAGGGTTCGCAATCATTCCTTGACTTCACTATGCATCATTTCTCATCATCCATTTTTCTCGATGTTCCGAGAATGTCTTTTCGTTCTGAAGAAAATCATCGACGCGTGCAACGAAAGTTTTTCACCGCAGAAAGTAGGAGCTTCTCGACAGACCAACAGGTGTGTTCGAATTTTACCTAAATCTATATAATGCTTTACAGTTTTCAAAAAGAAGAAAAAGAGCGTGAAAAACTTCTACATCCTCAACCGAATTTTCTTCGTCACAGAGATACAGTATGGAGTGTTCTAACGGGTCAGGTTCTGGGCGACACGCCGTCCATCGTGCTTCACGACGTTCGCGAGATTGAAACATGGATATTGCGTTTACTCAGCAGTCCCGTACCCGTCCCAGCAAAGACGCGCGTCGAAGTTGAGATAATATCATCGAACTTGCAACCTCCGCTATGTTTCGCCCTGCCGGACCATACCAGGTTCTCCTTGGTCGATTTTCCTCTGCATCTACCATTGGAGCTTCTTGGCGTTGACATATGTTTAAAGGTCCTCACGCTGATCCTTTTGGAAAATAAGGTAAACAATTGTAAAATAATATTTAAAAAATATATAATGTATACTTTTTTATTCAAGCGCCTTATTCTTTTTGTACCTTAAACATCCAAAGCTAAAATTTCAAAACAAAATGATGTCCTTTCTTTTAGATTGTACTTCAGTCCCGGGATTATAACGCTTTGTCCATGTCGGTCATGGCGTTTGTCACAATGATTTACCCGCTGGAGTACATGTTTCCCGCAATACCCTTACTTCCCACGTGCATGAGCTGCGCGGAACAATTGCTGCTCGCTCCGACGCCTTTCGTGATCGGAATACCCGCGTCTTTTCTATTGTATAAGAAGAACTTCAAGATGCCCGACGATATCTGGCTAGTGGACTTAGATAGCAATAAGATAACAGCGCCAGGCGCTTTAGGCGAAGACAGTCTGCCGCCTTTGCCGGAACCGGAGGGTACCATCTTGAAGAATCATCTGAAGCAGGTAATGAAATGCTTGCTCAATATTTAAGCGGCGATATATACACTTTCGTTTATTACGAAGCTAAATGATGAAGAGTATTTAATGACTCCTTACCCTCATCGCAGGCAATGCAACTGATGGATCAAGTTGGCTCTAGTGTAAATATTTTATCAATTCTCAGTCCGCTTATATAGTGGCGTACCCCTTATTTCGTAGTTAGTCGCATGCATGATTTATCACGTGTAGAATCAAGTTAATAACAGCCACACACATTTGCTGATGCTATAAAATAATAAATAGCTACAAGTAGCAAATCTAAATTAGTGCGATCTAAAAGATTGCTTTGCTTTTCAAAAATTATAGAAATTGATATTCGATATCGAATAGAAGATTTTTTTCATAATGTCGCCACTTTTTGTTTGTAGATGGGTAATTTAGTCGAAGTAGAAGTAAATGCAGCAATATAGTAGCAATGAACAACGAAAATTCTAACGAACTATTAATTTACTTTTTGAATTTTTAGGCGATGGCCAGTATGTCAGGCCCTCCACTACCCCCGCAAGACATTTCGATGCGTCTGTCTTTTCAGGCGCCGAACAGAAGAGAAAGCACAACCTCTCATCTTTCTAGTTTAAGGTAATTACTATGTCTATTATCTTTTGCTAAAACCTACCCAATAAAATTATTAACAATAACATAAAAATGAAATTTGACTCTAGAATCATTGAAAAAAGATTTGTAAATGATTGACAAATATATTTTTTAATCAATTATTAAGTACCGCTACTACTTAAATTTTAAACATTTTGAAACCGCTGAATGCTAATAAAATTATTAATAAACGTTACAGTGTAGCTTCGACGAAGCATAGGCCGAGCGTCGATCAGTGCTCACATGTTCAGCACATTCCATTGAATTCGCCTAGCATGAGCTCATCATCGAGTCCACCTCGTCGGCCGTCGATGTCACAGATGATCAGTGGATCCGGACCGGCTGGTCCGTATCCACCGAAAATGGCCGGGCAAAGCCCGGCACCTTTTAATCCCTTCATCTACGGAAACGACGTGGATTCAGTAGACATCGCCACACGAGTCGCCATGGTGCGATTCTTTAACTCACAGAATCTATTGGCCAACTTTACCGAGCACACACGCACCCTGCGACTATATCCCCGGCCAGTGGTGGCCTTCCAGATCAACTCGTTCCTTCGCTCGCGACCCAGGAAGAGCAGCTTCCTCAACAGATTTGCGCGCACACAGGCGGTCGAGTTCCTGGCAGAATGGTCCCTCACGCCAAGCAATGTGGCCTTTCTGCGGGTACAGACCGGGGTGTTCGACCCAGCGCAAATCGGTGACAAGTCGCGCTGGTACGCGACCAATCTCGAACCGATCTACTTTCCCGTCTGGGACTCCGGTAGCTCACTGGCGAATGCTCTGAAAGCGATGAGGGAACACGAGACTCAACCTACAGATGAAAGCGGTTCCGATTCTGAGGGCGCCGAAAGCACTAGCTCTTCTTACTCCTCCTTGAGCGATTTCGTCTCCGAGATGGCGTCATCCGATTTATCGCCGGGTGAGTGTATAAAAAAGAAAAAAAGGATACTCAATGTTAAAATTTTTAATCAAAAATTATCTTAAAGCAGTAAAGCAAAATTTTAACATTTATATAATTCAAATATTTTTAAATAAGAGGAATTCTATTATTTCGATTAAAATTTTAATGCTCTTAAAGTACTTTTATTGTTCAATTCTTTTCCGCAGGATACAATTGCCCGCAAGTGAGCCAGCCCCAACAAATGTCGCTCTCGGTAGATCCGAAAAACGTTTACAATCCACCAAGTTCTTTGCAATATCCCGGAGTAGAGGAGGACTCACCGGTACGACCCGAGAGTCCGCCGAGTACGTCTTCTAGCCACAGTGATCTCAGTAGCCCGAGCTTTAATAGGGACTCTGAACTCGAGTTGAATCCAAAAATTCACGAGGGTTTGCAGTCTACTAATGTAAGTACACAAATATTTTTTCCGCCATTTCTTCTGTTGTTTTTTCCTTCTCTTTTTTTATATGCACTATTTTCTATATGCTAAATGATACTTTATATTTCATGTAATTATATAGTTTACATCGTATGACATAAATCATGTCGCATGCACGACATCAGAATTAAAAAATTAAAAATAACGAAAGTCTCTTGATTCCGTAACATGTAATGCATTAATAATTTTTCAATTTTATAGGTAACAGATACAAAAATATCATTGAAGGTGTTTCATATACATCGATTTAAAATAAAAAATTCGTAGATATTTTTCAATTCTATAAATCGGCACACAATAATGATTCGTGCATAAATACGATATCTACGAAATACTTTCGTAGCGTGTTACGTTATGCGTTAAATCTCGAAATGGCATCTCCGGTGTGCGCTAACGGATAGCTTGATTATAGGATAAAGAGGAGGGTGGTAGCTTTGAGTCAGACTCCGCGTCGACAATAACACCGCGCACTATCCTGAGTGCACAAAGTTCGGTAGGACAATTCACAGGGATAAGCATGGGATCTTTAGGCACTCAATCTTCGCTCAACGATACTGAACGTCCTACCACACCTCACAGGACTTCGCGTATCAGTAGATATGTCACTCCTGTGAGTCATCTTCATATGTACCTTTAATTCTGTCACTTTCGAATATCTCCTCGAGAGTGTCACTTCGTGGTGCATTCAACTTAACGGTTGCAATATTCGTGTGCATCATTTCATGCTTATTTAACATTTGATGACAACAAGGATGAAATGATACTCGCAAAGCGTAGCTTGCGAACATTAAGAGGAATGCATTCTAGTATCATTTGGGGGTTGATGCATGATAGAATGAAATCAAATTGAATATTGGAGGGAATTTCCACGAAGTGTGAAATGTTTGCCTATCACTCTTTCATCTTTTTCTCTTCTTTTTAATTCATATTTCTCGTTAAAAATATTGTTTGAGAAGAATGTTAAGCTTCTCGTCTCTGATTTGCATTTTATTTTAAAGATGCGTTGTTTTTACGATTAATTGACGTTCGTTTTATGAGATATATCCATCGTTTGAGTATTCCTTGCATGCTCGCCCCTCAAAACACAAACGTGATAATCCCGATTCACGTCCCATAGCTGGTATTAAATGTGATTGCGTGAAGTCTATATTACATATATTATAGTTGTGTGATCTTCAGTCTATATTTCGCATTATTTCTTCTCAGCATGAAACGAACGAATAAGATTTATTATGATACACATATTCTTTTCATGTTATTCTTTGAAAATACGTTACTGCATTGACGCTAGTGTCTATTTCTCATGCGATCCACACACGTGAGACATACATGAAGCATACATCTACAGATACATTTACATATACATCCTTTCATCTTCTTGTCGACACATTCCACGAGTTATGTTTCATTACTATGACTTTAAAATGATTGTCAGAAACATGATTTTGATCTTTTGAACATATGTACATGCACAGAGATAATGCACTATTTAAATTTTTTAATTATAGTGGAAAGTACGACTCTTCTTGTAGTTATCACTTGTCAAATACAAATTGTTTTATCTATATCTAAATCTGTACTATTTCAACGTGACGTTTCCTGTTAAAGCATGACTAACTTTGTTACGTATATCTTGAATCTTGAGACTATAATATAGGTATATTTATTAAGTCTTGTGTTAATTAATGTGTAATATTTTCAGAAAAAAACACTCTTTCTAATGTAAAAGTTTTGGAGTTTTTTCTATATTGCGATCCCGTGCGCCTTCAAATTTTTTATTGATATACAATTTGTGATATATGAATAATGAATTTATTAGTAACAATTTCCCAGAAGCAACATTATTATTTACAAGCATTCTTTTACTTTCTACTTTTAACTGATTTCTTTCAAGAAAAGAATTTTTCAGAAACATGCGGGATTATTGATGATTTGCACCCCCCGATTCTCCTATTATTTTCTAAGAAGACTGTTTATTTTTTTATGATAGTTGAGAACAATTATAAACACTTGCGCACCTTTTTCCAGGTACCACCTACAGGACCGGGTCTACAACGTCAGCCAAGCGTTGGTAACGTCCTAGCGAGAGCTTCCAGCTTCAACACCGCTGGTGGGCCTCTCCTGCCACGACAGATAAGCGCGGTCACCACTGCTGATCATCAACATCACGAAGCGACGACGCAACTTCAGCGTCAGGCATCGGCAGGACCGACAGTCATGCAGAAATCCAGCAACGATAACTTGATGCAACGGCAGAACAGTGGCGGGAGCGGTAATAGTACCACTACTGGAAACGGTGTTCTCCGACAGGGCTCACAGGGCTCTCTGTTCGAGCAGATTGCTAGCCAGGCGAAGGACTTGATGCGCGAGACTAGACAGAGCAGCCAAGATGGGTTACTAGCACACATGGACAAGGTGAAGCATGCGTGATAATCTGATAATAAAATATTTAGCCCAGTTGCCTGTTGCTTCCCTAGCACAATTTATTAGCACAATATTGACAGTGTTTAAGTAATTGCCTATAAATTGTTACTAGGTTTCTTTTCTCTAGTTTTACTGAACAAACTATGCTATATTTTATTATAAATACGATAAAACTAATTATTTATTTAATTTACTATTTATCACAGTTGAAGCAGGCAAAAGAAAAAATTACGGAGGCTAGCGAAGACAGTCTATTCGCGCCACTAGAGCAAGTACGTTTTTGTGACACATTACATAAGGTATATGAAATCGAAATGTATTTTGTAACTTCTTTGTCTTCTTTTTTCTGAATTACAGTTGACGCAACAAACGAAGAAAGCGATGGGTGAGGCCACCAAGTCGGTGCAAGAGGTATCGAAAACCGCGTTGGAGGCGAGTAAAACCGCGGCGGGCGTCAGTAAAAATACATTAGACGATCTGACGTACGTCGGCAAGAGCACGTTGGGAGATTTGACAAAAAGTGCTAAAGAAGCTGCCGCAAAGAAAGGCTTGCTCAAGGTACGTGTCTTTAGTGAATACTCTCTTAGTTCTGATAAAGTCATGCTGAAGCATCTTTTGCGCTGATTTTTGAAATTGGTTTATTGAATACAATCTTCACATTTGCTTTTAGGGTCTCGGAGAATCGCAACAATCACCCACACATTCGCCGCAATCTCCCAATACGCAGCAACGAAAGGATTCGGTCAGTAATCAATTAGTCGCGTCTGATTCTCGAGGTGGGGTTGGACGAGATTTTTTCAGCAATATTAGCAGCGATCTGAACGGTTTCGCCGCGCAGACCAGCAGCATGTTCAGCGATTTATTCGGTATATTTTATGATCTTACTTTTAATAACTATCAAACATACGATATATTAATAATTTATAATATTCTGCATAAATAAAAGATATTGGTGTGGGTTATAAAAATTATCATGTGATAAATTCACACTCTAAAAAGTATTGAAATTATATGTATTCGATTTCCAGGTAGTAAAAATAATTCTAATCGAGGTAGTAGCTTCTTTCCGCAAAATCAGAAATCGAAAGAGAAGACTAATCCAATTCTTGGACCATTTCCCAAAGGTAAATGCTGATAAACCATTTCTAATTAAATCCTTACATTTTAAAACAAAATGTAAAACAACGCGAAGGTTTATTAACAGTTGCAGGAAAAACAGGATTGGTAGAACGTTCCTCGTTAATAAAACATTCTACACACAAAGTTAATCAAGAAGACGCGCAGAGAATGCAAAATGCAGAACGTTCCAGCACAAATAGTGACAATCAAGCCTTTTTAAATGATGCAAGTATTCGTAAACATTATATTATTAAAAACAAACAATCGTGCTTAATTTTATGGTCTTTGTATAACTTGTAGGTGGTGACGCAAGTGTTGGCTGGCGAAGGTGTTGGTTGGCTCAAATTGAACAGATTAAAAAAATTAATGGAGGATGAAAATTATCGTGATTTGATTGTAACGAAGCTAAATAAAGGTCTTAGTAGGAAGATTAGTCCGAACGATCACATTGACGATGTGGTAATATGAAAATATATCTTAATTAAATAAAAAGCTTATTAAGTATTATTATTAAACTCACTTAACATTTCCCTGCCTCGAAATAAAAAACTGTTTGATTATCTGTTTTAATTTCTTACCAGGCCATATCAAAGCCCGTATATAAGGGAATGTTAAAGTGCCTTCAAGCAGTAACGCATGGTCTCGCGCATACGTATAATAATTTCGGATTAGGCGGGATGGCTTCTGTCTTCCAACTGATGGAAATCGCTCACACACATTACTGGAGTAAAGATCTGTCCGAAGGTAGTGGCTTCGACAGCTCCTTGATGTCGCAGGTATAATAAAGAACGCCTTTCTAATTAACGTAACACATAATTTAGTTTATAAATATTCATAATTCGATTTAAATATTTTCATTTTATGTATATTTGATGTTCCATAATGAAAAAAAGCGTTCATTTCGCAGGCATCTAGCCCATTCGGTAGCAGAGAAAACTTAAAATCTCCGCAATCCCCGAATCCACCCGACTTTATGGATCCTACGCAAAAATCGGGTATGTCTTTGAACATATTTATTATATTGTTAAAAAATTTTTATCGATTCTTAATTTATTAAATGTGTTATATTTTTTATTGAAAATTTTGATATCAATATTTTCAATTATTCAATATTATTGCACACGCGATAAATAAGACCAATTATTTCATACAAATAACTTTCTTAATCTTAGAATGAACATAGAATTTATCAAAAAAATATAACTCATCAATTTAAATAAATATATAATTATACAAAAATTAACATAGAAAAATTAGTAATTAATTATTTTTTGAAATATCAGAACTGCCGCAAGTGCATTTGGATGCGCCACAGGCACCACCGGCGGGAGACACAAGCCAATCAACGACGGACATGTTCCTGGACATGTTCACAAAGAAAGGGAAATTTCTAAGCAAACTTACTTCATTCGATTCAGAGGTAGAAAACATTTTTTTTACAAATATATTTCGATATCCTAAGCTCAAATTTCAAGTTGGTTAGTAGACCTACTTGGATGTTGCAATGATCCTGCAGGCGCGATCAATATAATTGTTGAAACTGGTAAAAATACATCTCCTCCCCCCGTCCTTAAACAGACGAGAAATATCACTTCTTTACTTTTTTTTATTAGAGAATGTATTATTCGGCCTGGCAGTTTCTTTGACGGTCCTCTTTTAAAGCTAGTAAACGCGAAGAAAGATAAAAAAAAAATGCTCAATTTTCGATTGTAACATGCAACGCACACGTGTTTTGTCATGTGTTTTTTTAGAGTGGGCGGGGTGGTGGAACGGGGAGCAGCGAAGCTTTATCCACTGACGGAGGTAGCATTATCACTAATCCTGCTTTTCGGCAAGCGCACCAAGCTTCCTTCCGAAGCACCGTATCTGATAGCGAGGTCGAGCAAGGCAATGTAAATTATCTATCTTGAATTAATATAATCTTACATAGTTGTTAGATACATCTGGTAGAGCGCAACGCACACACCGCTAGTAGCACCGTCCATTCCCATAAAATAGATGCCCGACAATGCAAAATTCATTGGAATGTCTGTTAATCGCGCGATTTCAAATTCACCACGCTCTTCAGGAGAAAGAGTCCTTAGACTGACTCGGATGAGTAACATTTACATCGTACAACTTTCCGCAGTTCCGAACTCTAGAATTACACCAATATCTCAGCACTCATCAGACAGGAACACTGGACGCTGACAGATCGCATAGAGAATCATTATCGAAGGGTAACAATAACGCGTTTCGCTGCAATTTAAATTACTGTCATATTTAAAAAATCAGTGTCTTGTTTGTGATGTTACTAGGTTTCTTCCGTGATCCTTTTTCTTTGTGCGTGCAAGCAAGCTACCCTTTGACTTTAGAAGGTGGCAAATCGTATTGCAATTAGCTAGATGGAATGCTTATGATCTCAACGAATATCGATAGAAGATATTAACCGGTATTCATAATCTTGGTTTTTATTTTAAGACCATTTTAAATAACGTCTCAAGATGCTAATATGATTTATCTTGAGACTGTACTTATAAGATCTTAAATATATAAGAATCGACTATATGAATACTAGCCATAATTTCGGACTATTTCATTAAAGTCTTTATGATTTTTCATCAAAGATTATCACTGGAACGTTATTAACTTCATTCTTACACGATTCTGTGATTTCAGTTTCCTCGACAGGGCAAGCAACGTTCCGGCAGCGTCTGGTCCAGCAAATCGTCCTTAAGCACCGGATTCAGATATCATGGTGGAAGTTTGATACCTACCACGACGTTACCAAGTCCGGAGGCTGCAAGAACGTATCTCTTTGAAGGTACAATAGACGAAGCATGATAGTTTATTAATTTATAAATGATGTCTAAATTTATTATCATTTTATATTACCGCAATTGTCAATCTAGGTTTATTGGGGAAGGAGAGATCATCTCTGTGGGACGAAATGCAATTCTGGGAGGACGCCTTCTTGGACGCTGTTTCGCAGGAACGCGACATGATGGGCATGGATCAAGGACCCGGAGAAATGGTGGAAAGGTAAATCAGAGTGAAACGAATGAAGAAAATTACATAGAAAGAACATTCTAGCAATTATAATTTGCATGTTGATGGTTTAATGAAATTAATTTTAAATCTATATTTAACTAAATTTTAAGATATTTTAGCAAATAAACCAATTTTTCTTCATAGAGATAACCTACATATATATTGTAATTTTCTTCAATTGATTCAAAATTATGAAAATTGAAAAGTTTTATATAATACATTAAATATCTGCTAACAATATATGTATGTATGTATATATGTGTATATAATATATATATATATATATAATATATGTGTGTGTGTGTGTGTGTGTGTAAAAATTAAAACAATTATTAAAACACGTTGTGGGCGCGATATAGATACAAGAGCTTGAGTGAAAGCGAAAGACGAAGGTTGGAACACGAGGAAGACAGACTGCTGTGCACTTTGTTGCACAATCTCACCGCTGTTCTTGTGATGTTAAACGTCGACAAGAATGAGTTGAAGCGGAAGGTACGCAGACTGCTGGGCAAGAGTCACATCGGCCTCATCTATAGCCAGGAACTGAATCTACTTCTCGACCAAATAAACAATCTTGTGAGTATCGGTCGCGCGATCGGTTAACAATCGCGACACGCTAAGAACGCGGATCTTCTTCTACAGCATGGAAACGACATCGATCTGAAGCCCTTAACATCCCGGCAAATGCACCGGCAGTCGTTCACCGTGCATTCAGGGGTCGACGCCGAGGGCGACCTGCGCTTCCTCGAGGTTCGTCACGATGGCCTCGTACTGAGATCGGTTAATGGCGTGATAGTTGAGCGCTGGTGGTACGAACGTGTGGTCAACATGACCTACAGTCCGAAGAATAAAGTTCTATGTTTGTGGAGAAGAAGTGGCGGCGATACCGAGTTACACAAGTATTATACTAAGAAGGTAGGAAAGATCGAGCAAAGGTAGTTCGAATAACAAAAATTAAACGAAGAAGAAATGTTTCGTTCTGCCGGTTGTAAAAGTTCACTAGAGATAAGATAAAAGCCTATATAGCTTAAACGTCTGCAATAATTTTTGGCACAAACAAACTTTCAACTCTCAAATTTCTTCAAAATAAAAGAAGACGAAGTCTCCTCCTAAAATATTTGAGAAAAATATTTAGTAATGTATAATAGAAATCTTAAAAAATAAATAATTAAATTTTTTGCATTCTTTGAAAGTCTTAATAAGCTTGGGGAAGGGAGAACCTTTTTGAACCTACTAACGACATTAAATCACAGTCCATTGTGTTTCTCTGAAAGCCTAAGGACAGTAAAAGGAATTGAGCTGAAGAGGAAGACTCAGGTTGTATATGTGTGCAGATTTAGAAAAAGTACAAATATGATTGCAGATGGTTATGAGTGTAATCTCACAAAGTTTAACAATTAGTCGTTTTGAAGAAAATGTCCGTAGATTCCAAATTGATCGGTCGACCAGTCGAGATCAGTTGCATACTTTTGACGCTAATTATACGTCAACGTTTCTTTCAGTGTAAGGACGTGTACTACTGCATTAAGGATGCAATGGAGAAGGCAGCAGCTCGCGGACGAGGCGCGAACGTGGGCTATGAACTCGGTGGTGAGTTTCCGGTGCAGGATATGCGAACGGGTGAGGGCGGACTTCTGCAGGTCTGCATGGAGGGCGTCGGTCTCCTTTTCGCGAATAGCAAGGTATGACTCGCACTCGCGTGAAAGCCACACACTCCTTACGCTGTTATCGGGAAGAATCGAGAGCTTGACTCTCCTTCCTACTTTCTCTCTCTTTCTCTCTCTCTCTCTCTCTCTCTCTCTCTCTCTCTCTCTCTTTCGAGGATGCGCATATATCTCTATCTATATACCCCTTTTATATTCTACGTTCAATTGTTTGTGTAATTGTTGGATCGTACATATATATTTATTGGGAACTTTAGTTTAAGGATTAAGTATCACCTTTCGTTATACCTTCGACCGTACTATACGTCTTAATTACATTAGGATTTTACTTTTTAGCTATCGAATCTGTATAATCGTTTACTTTTTACGACGTGTCGATGCATATAATAATGCATTTATTTCAGCGAAATTGAATATACGTTAGAGAATATATTTATATAATATTAATTATTAGACTACATCGAGACTGAGTTGTAGGAAAAAAAATTTTTCGTCTCGGCTCAACGATCGCGATCGTAGTCTGAGGTGACATTAATGTTAGTGTCGATACTCGTCTCGTAATGTTGATCGAGCAACCCGAAGTAAATAGTATTTAAAAGGAAGCAATGATTAATTAAACAATAAAAAAACGGCAACGTCGAAATTGAATAGGATTGAAAACCTCGTCGTCGCTCAACTGTCTTTTTGACCATATTCTCTTGATCATCGAATACTCTTTTTCTCTTTCTCTCTTTCTCTATGTTTTTTTTTTCATTATTGCATTGATGCAAGGACCACTCAATATTATCTCCCACTGCTAGCCACTATACGATCTGCTTAATTGATTTATATCTTTGTACGTGATTCATCGCGTCCATATAGTAGGACAAGTCGGGCTCGTCTGGTGGTTCGACTGGCGAACTTTCAACCCAATATATGTTCCAGTACCCGTGCGAAAGTTACTTTGTTGATTTACAAAGAAATCCGCAAGATTTCGTACTCGCAAAGACACATATCGGTACGAAACTAGAGAGACTTTGCGGAAGAAATGAAGAGATACAGAAATAAATATCTTACACACTTCGAAAAGCAACCTACAGCATAACTGCGCAGCATATAGTGCATTTACAGAATGCTGCAATCAATCGTGTTTCTCTTTTTCTTTAACTATGTAGGTTCTGTTTGACTGACGAGCTAAGTTTTTCTTATGAAAATATCAATGTGTTATTTTACAAATTATAAATAATAGAAAATTTCTTTAACTCTAGACGATTCAAATTTAAATTCTAAACTTGGAATCATTGAGCTCTCTCATTGTTTTATGTAAAAAAAGTTTTCAATAACGGAAAATTGGCTCAAAATTGATTCATGAATCTTTAATTAAAAGAGAAAGCACGCTTGAGCTAAGGCATTCTTTATTTGCGCATCTGAGTTCAAAATATGATCCATTTATTAAAGAATTTTCAATCTTTTTTTAGTAATATTTAAAATATGTATTTTAATCTCAATGTATATAATGTGAATAAATGCAGTAAATGGATCCTGTAAGGAACCAGATCATCTCCAGATGCATACACATACATACATATAACGCACACATGCATATACACTCTTCAACGAGAAAAATAATTGTTCCGCTCGTCGTTAAGCATTTCGTTTAATCGAGAGCTCCGTTTAATCGCGATAATTCCCGTATGAGATTTACTCGGCACAAGTTCGGTTCCGACATCCTCTCGGTTATTTTTACTGGATAATATTGTGTTCAGGCGTTATATTAATCAATGTTTTCTTGCATGGAAGCTCGATGTGCAGTTGCAGACTCTTTTATCTGTATTATATATAATTATATATATTACATATTTATATATCCATTACATTTATATTATATATATATATATATACATAGGAAATAAGGTATAGGGCGATATATATATATACATACAGACTGTCTTTTGAACACTATACTCCTATATCTTATCATTTGTATTGAATGTTGGATGCTATTATATTTTTTCCATAAGTCTAACAACTTCTTTATCTGTCGTGGTCATGCGCGAGGAAAGTCTATTCGCGTTCGAGACGAGAGAGAAAAAAATGAAAAAAAGAAAAGAAAAGAATATGATGCAACAAAATCGCAAGCGCTACACAAATCGCTGTTTACCGGCTATACTTACTTCAGCGCGACCGATAAACGCTCGCGGCTATCGTTATATATCATACATTAACGGAATCTCGCGCGAATGACGAAATACCCGTAGGATATTATGCCCGGGATCCGCGGGCATCCGATTCGGGTAATCGGAATGATAGACTTTTCTCAGCTTGGGGAACTTTTGAGATGGTCCTTGAACAATGAATATACCTTTGCTGTTTATCGATTTGGCCATGACGTTAGGTGATAAAAGCGTAGCTGTAATATCATCGTGTACAGCTGTATCTCTCTTCTCTCTCTTTTTCTATATATATATATGCTATACATATTCTATGACTGAGTGGATAACTGCTATTACCAAAGGTTTTAATTTTCTGTTTTTCTGTTTTCTGTTTTCTTGTCCCGTCCATCGACATTGCCCTACGGCTGGGCAAACAGGATTTCGAGGTATCAAATCAAAATAAGTCATTGTTTGTTATATAAATTCAGTATATGACTATATACTCAATGTTGGCCGTGTTCCGGAGATGCTTATTTATTTTCACCATTACTTTTGGCCGTATATATTATTATTATATATACCATTATACTATATATATCTACCTACATTCTTAAATTGCATTCGAACTCACTGATCTGCTCTGTCTATCCTTACTGTTTTTTCTACGATCGATCGGTGTTAGTTGTAATATATATATATATATACACACGCATATGTATCTCTCCGTTACGATATGATATGTGCATATCGTAAAGTCGATACCTCTCCAGGTATCCAGTAATGAACGATGAAATGCAGAACAGTGTTTGCCGCATTGATCGAAAATCCGACACAAAATATACTTTATATATTGTATATCGTTTAGATGAAATATTTGTAAGTAGTGTTTAGTGCAACTTGTAGAGAGCGATGTTCGATGCACACACAATGCAACTATATATATCTATAGCCTAATCACTCGTACATAAAAGTCCGTACACAAAGTCATTACGTCACGATCATCATTTACAGCTTTCACGTTTTACACATCGTATCTCTCGGTCGCGACTGAGAAAGCTCTTTGAAAAGCTCTTTGAAAAGCTCTTTGAAAAGCTTATTTTATCGAAACTGTTGTTATCGCTATTAATTAATTCAACATATGATCGAATCGTGGTGTGAATTTTATCGAGAATCGATGACAAGTTCGGCTATATCTATCTTTATTCAAAGTGTCTTCGAAAGTAAATTTTCTGTCGTCTGATTTCTTGTATTTTGTCTTTTAATTGAATAAGATTAAAAGAATTCTAAACCGGGAGTAAAGCAATTTATTGAGAATCGATCTATGATCGTAATCTGTAGAACGTACCCTATATGACTTGCAAAAGCCATTTTTTGGATAAGATTTCGGGGTGCGATTGTTAAATTAATTGTGCATCAGCAAATATATCAATATATTTGCCTCATGTCGAAGATGAAAAATTGGATGTAATATTTTAAAAAATTATAAGTACTATTCGTAAAGATGATATCGAAACTGCACGGTTACTCGTATAAATGATGCTACGTAGGAATAAATTGAAAAAGACAGATTATACATAAATAAGAGAATGGTATAAAAAATATGAAAAATTTAATATGCTTAAAATTCTCTCGAATAATTTTTGCATCCAAATTTTTCTATCCGAATAACAGACATCGGAGGGTTTGCTATATTTTTTCTAAGATTCAAGCAGTTCCGCGGAATGAATAATTATTCCGCGGAATTGCTTCAGCATAATCTATGCTAAAGTAATTCTTCGGAACTTCAGATTCTCGATAGGCTTCTCGAGAAATTAATAATATAATATAACGATAGTCTGTTTAAAATTACTACGTGATCATCGTTTGAGTCAATATGATTAAAAAACTCTTAAAAAAATACAGAAAAAATCTTACATTAAGGACAGATCTCATCAACTTTGATTAACTTAATCGATCGATTGTTACATTAATTTTGGAATTAACCAATCGCATTTGCTGTTCGGCAGCATTTAACAGAATTGACTGATCACGTCACATTGACATTTAATCGACCGATTAAATTAATCGGTGTCGGTGTACAATCCTAATAAAAGAAATCATAAAATATATCAGTGAAATTATTTTATTTTTAAATAAACTATTTAAAAAAAAAATAATATTTTTGATAAAATATATAGATCCAAACAGACCAGCAGGGTGAAATAAAAACGAAGGAATCAGCGATTTACATGCCCGTGACACATACATCTCTTGGCAATCCACTCATTCTACACTGGTAGTTATGTAGTAGAGCAATGGTTCCTCGTGCTGTCTAGTGATCGTCTAACGTATTTATTGCGAACAGGATATCCTCCTGTGAAAAAAAAGGCATCGTGAAAACTGTGAATTTCGCGCGAGCTCGACCTTCTCGCCACGATATTATTACACTTCTCTGGCATGGCACTGCTAATACAATATGTTTCTTGTTTATACGGCATTGTACCGATTCCGATAATGTACTGATTCACTCCCTAAGAAGTGATATATTTATTTACCGTCATACTTCCCCTTTTCTCGATTTCTCTTTACCACCCCCTTCATAATTGATATAATATATATGATATATCACGACCGTGTATCATTCGATCGTATATCACGTCCGCCGGTCTGTATTAGATGATACAATTGCACATTTTAGCAACTCTTCGACGCTAAGCAATCAGTAACATTTTACGATTGAGTTTAGGCCATCTCCAGAGTTGCCTGCCGCTGTTACGCTTGCCGCTATATGTCGCTGACATTGCTGCTGCTGCTGTTGCTGTGGATGCCGCTGCTGTTTGCCGCCATTGCTGCTGCTATTATATAATATACATAGATCTTGCTTAAAAATTAATTATATTGAGATTGCGATGCGATTGCTGAATGATGCATGGTGTCTTTTGATAGATTTTAGTCGTAGAAAATAGATTCCTGGATCGCTTGTACATCGCTTTGGCCTTTACACTTATTCTTGCAGAACTTAACAATTAAAAAATGTATTCTCCAAAAAGCAGTCTTGCAAAGATTGAATTCTGTGAAAATACAGAACATTGTTCGCTGCTGAGTCTCGATTGAAATATGACAACTATTAAGTGATATTGAGCCTGCTGTTATGAGATAATGCTTGTACGGCTGAAAGCCTTGAAAGGTCCGTGTATGCTGCACGTAGAAATATTTCTAGGGTTTGAGTTCCCCTATTTCAATTCTTTTACTTACAGCATTCGTATACTCTTTGCACGTGTAATGGATACATTTCTATTTCAGTTTTACTCATTAAAATACGATACTCGTGATATTCTACGTACAACGCGATTCAATATTTGTCACACGGATATCGCCGCGCCGTTGCGAGATTATCTTTCAATATTCTCTCCTTTCCTAGTAACGATTACATAAGAGGATAAAGTTATCCAGCATATTGAAATGTAAATGTTATAAAGTAACTTTAACGTTTGAAATGTAAACGGGTTTTAACGTGTAAAATAAATATTCAGCTCTGTTAGATTCATTCGCTTCGCATGCAGGAAAAACAATATTTTTTAAATAAAATCACAAATTTGTGAAATAAATATATTTGGAATAAAACGCGCGCGCGCGCGCGCATATGTTTACCGTTTCTGCAAAAAAGAAATATGATCTGGTCGTAACAATTAATTAGCGTATATGGTACAAGAGCATCGCTTCGCATCTAATCAAGTGGAAATTTTATTGTATAAACAGTATGAAATAATAACAGTAATAATTATTACAATTGTTACAAATTTTATCGATAGTTTTTCGTCCAATGTACGTCATTAATAAATTATCGATAAAAAGTGTCATGCAAAATTATACGAAAGATGTGTATAATTTTACTAATTGTAATTAGTTTGTATAATTGTGATTTTCTGTACATGCATCAATTAAAACAGGCAGTAAATGAAACACACTTCTTGTGCAAAACCCGTCGAGCGCTTTTGGATTTTTAATAAAAAAAAATTATAAAATTAAATTGTGCGTAATAAAAAAAATCATCAAACTCTTGCACTTTATAAATTTACATCAAGTAAAAATGATTAAAATGATAATAAAATTGCAGTAATAAATATAATAATATAGGAATATTTAATAATTAAAGATTAAAATGTAGCTAAGAATTATTGTGTTAACTGATAAGAGACGCGACAAAATTAGCGCTCGAAGGGTGAAAACAGACGCTTATCGTCGGGCGAGCATCACGATACATTTTCACGCCTCGTTTAGAAAGCTGTTCGCACACACGACTGATACTGCTATATCGATATATATGATAATGATAGGCAAATAGAAAATCGTCAGAATCGTGTGCATGATCGAGTAGATCCAGATCTATGATACGCGATCCGCAGACCACTAACGCAAACCGATTGTGTTATTTGCAGTTTTTTGTAAGACTCGATCATATCCGCAAGTGCTTTACTCAAAAGGATGGAATCTTTGTTTTGGAAGAATTCAGTAAGTGACATACCGAATACTGCATCGATTATACGCTTTTACGCCGTAGATATCTCGTGAAATAAAGAATAGATTCACGATATTCTCTGACACGCTTATGCTGAAATTCAGCATTTAATCTTTAAATGTCGGAACATCATCGGGTGCCTTTTTGTTTCAGATCCTAAAACTAGACAAGTAATTCAACGTAAATATAAGTCACAAATGGTGAGTACGCGTGTTTCAATACTCCTTATTGTCGAAATCGAAATGTCTGTCATAACGAGAAAAGATATTTGTTAAAAAAAAAAGAAATAATAAAACGTCTATTTTAGCATAAAACAGAATAATAATTTAATTCCGAGTATATTATTTAATTAATAATATATTCGTCTTATTTTATAATAGAATAAAATATCTATTTTATACATGGAATATAATAACATTTTTTTAAATTTTACAATAGTTTAAGTGTTTAATAAACGTATAAAATATTATAAACATAATAGTTTACTTTTAATTAATTATGTATATTCAAGAATAGATAAAAAGGGTCAGAAGAAAGTGATGGACGTTTTATTACTTTCAATTTTTGTTATTATTTCTATAGCCATGTACTGTGTATGACAGGCTGAAGAGGCGGTTCGCTGCTTGCATAGAATATTTTCCATCGCATTTACTCTTAATAAACTCCCGTTGGAGACTCATCAGAAACATAAGTGCGGAAATGACACCTCATGAGACTTATTTTAAAATTTTTTTCCTTTCTTACATCTCACGTAAGTTCTTTTCTTTATTTTATTTTATTTAGAAGATAATTTTTATAATTTAATTTACTGTTTCTGGATAAATGAGTTTCAAACAATTTAAGGTTGATTTTATATATACAATAAATAAAATGAAAACTGAATAAAAATTAGTAAAATTTGATATTTATATTTACTTTAATTTCTATAATGACGGTTTTTTTAACTCATTAAAACTTTTCACGAATAAAAAGGCATGAATAAATGTATATGTACCTAATGATATTGAATATATTTTCATTCGAAGGCATCTGACATCTGCTACGCTGTTCTCTGCGTATTTTCTTACGTGGCGGCTGGTTCGGAGCAACGAAAACAGCAGGGCCAGCAACAGCAGCAGCAGCAGCAGCAACAACAGCAACCGCAGTCGCAATCGCAACAACAGTATACCCTGCAACCACATCAACAACGCCAGCACCAACAACAGTTGCAACAGCAGCAGCAATATCAGCAGCAACAACAAAACTATCAAATTCGATATCCCTATCAGCAACACAGACAGGAACAATCACAACCGAGCAATGTAACACCGCAGATGCACCACAGAAACACGCAGTTGGACCCCTATCCTCGTCAACACTGACACAGGCAACGACACTCGCTTCCCTTCGTTAGCATCCACGACAGAAATAGTTGCGCCCCTTACGCCTGTCTACCCTGGGTATAAGCGCGTTATCTCTTTCCCGAAGGATTTACTTTATTTAAAGATTCATGAGACATATATAGGCAAGATAACAATTTTGTTTTCTCTCTCTCTCTCTCTCTCTCTCTCTCTCTCTCTCTCTCTCTCTCTCTCTCTCTCCTTCCCCCTCTCTTCAGATTTGCCAACGTTCTTTCCTCTTCCAGGAATGAAATTATTATAAAAAATCGTAATAACTAAAAATATGTGAAAAGAAAAGAAATTGATCCTTATAGCTTAATTCGTTAATATCAGATTTTTGCGGCGCGATTTTTATTGCGTAGTCCTGCGTCGATGTGATAGCTGTGGTATTCTTGTATTCGTGCGTGCACGTGAGTACACGTGTACGTGTCACTTAAAGCAATTAAATACAATAAGTATTCGTAATTGGCGGTACAATTTTATATGAATACGACACGAGGAGACATAGAGATTTGCGATTGTCCGCAATTCGGAAAAATAAAAGATTTATTTTAGCTCGTGTATAGTCGGAGTAAGCGGTTGATAAACGCCAAATTGCGACATCCTCGCTAATTTTTGAATCTTTTGATTATCAATATCATCTATTATTTCTATCATCTTTTAGTATCCTCGATCTTTTCTTACGACAAAACAATCAAGTGTAAATAACGACAGCTAGTTCTCTATTAGTTCGCTGTCTCTCTTTCTTTTCTCACCTATAATCGAGTCTAATCGGTGATTTCTATCCATTTTGTTTATATACAGCGTGAGAGGTTAATGAAAACTGTTCCGTGTAGAATGTATAGAAAAATGTACTATCTCGATGTGTGTGTCTCGAGTAAATACAGTGGTTTATTATTTTATACGAATTCAAATACAAATATACAAGAAAAAGAAAGATCAAGCTCGTAGAGCGTTCGTTAGGGTACATGTAATGTTCCCAAAAAATAGACATTATAATATAATAATGTAACTGTACAATACTAAAGAAACATGTAAGACAACATCTTTGAAACGCTGTGAAAATTCGCATCCTCTGATGTGTTTTCCTACGACTTGTGTGAGATTTAGTTTAGACGCGTATTATTAATAAATTTAGTTAGACACAGAGACAGCGAAAAACACAATGAGATCGCGGTTTTTAACCGATTAATCGGAATCTGTACTAAATGCGAAGCAATGTCTCTCTTTACTTTGGAAACTTGTAATTTCGTTGTATTTTTTCTTGCCGCATATTGTATTTCTCGATATCCGTCACGTTAAATACGCGTCGCGTAGAGTAGGTGAACAACAATGACCAGTTTAGAGAAGGTGTAAACTCAGTCGCGAACTCAGCATCAAGGTAAACGTAGCGTACGTGTCTCTACATGAGAAGAAATGATATATTTTCTTGCAACGTATAAGAGGCGTATAGATATTTGTAAAAAGGAATAGGATTTGTAAATATAACAATTGGCGGTGTAGTAAGCGGTACAGAGAGAGCAAAGACGTGAACCCTTTTTATTTCTCGTCTTTTAATACGACTATACATGTTAGAGCTCGTTCGTCGGTTGAGTTAGTGAGAGGTGCGTTTTTTAAAAGTGAAAGAAAGAGGGAGGACACGTTCTCTTCTAAATATCTAAAAAAAATAGAAAGGAAGAAACATATACACATTCTTTGTACCAAGTTTGTCTGCCTAAGTCCCGATGTTTAGAAATTCTATACATTCAATCAATCGTTATCATTTCGAGATATATCATGGTTATGCGATAAAGAAAACTTTAGATCTCTAGGAGAGAAAAATTAATACCTCGCATTGTATAGTACTCATCCATGTAGACGCCTCACGCCCGAAATATACTTGTAGCCAAATCGAAATTGAACAGTATTTATTTACCTTTACCTAATTACGATTTACAATAAATATAATTCGAATTTTTATCATAACTGCAGAACGTTCATATGGAACGGAGAACGCTTTAAGTAAATGCGATCACAATTTATGCGATGTTTATTAAATAATTGCAGACGACATAAGTGAACATATATGGCCTCATAAATATGCAGTTGTTAGCTCTAATTCATTAGAAACTTAATTGATAAATGCTCTTCATCGGCCTCGAGATACACGTTTAAAATGACAAAGAAGCAATCTCGCATATTACGCAATAATTAGTCTTTGAACAAATTTAAAAAATTTGATTGATATTTTAATATTATAATTAATAAATGTATATAATATAATTAAACAGTATGTAAATATACAGTATAAGTGAACTAATTAACTTGATGAATATAAAAAATAGAATAAAAATTTTACCCTTAAATAATTTATGAATCATATATTAATATATAGACAATAAATAATATGCAAACATAAACAAATAAATTGGACTTATTCCGATTGAATTCTTCTCTCATTTTTCTAAAAAAAAAAAACTCAATTTTTTATTTCTTTTTTGCAAGATCGAGATTCAATCAGGTGTAATTGCATCTAATCAAGGCCAAGCAATGGTCAGTTATAAAGACTATCGAATTTCATACCTCTTGCGGACATATGTCCTTTTTCTTTCCATGATTGACGTTGGAACTTGGGAACGCGATCTCATTATCGAGGGTTTCTAGTCCACAGTTGCGTCTCGAATCTCACTGCGGGAGGATGGAGCGATGGACCGGACAGGTGGCTGTAGTAACTGGTGCCAGCGCCGGAATTGGTGCAGCAATCGCACGAAATCTCGTTAAACAAGGTGAAAAAGTGTTCCAATTATAATAAATTAATATTGCGTTGAAGTTCCTCTGGCGAGAAATTTGTCTTTGCGATTGCATACGTTTATCTCGACTCGCGACGAGATAATTGTTGCCTATCGTCCACTAATTGGGAAGTGTAATATCACTGTTACATTGGAAAGAAAACAAGATACGTCAATACGTGCTATTCGGAATATATTATAAAATATCGTGCCAAAGTCTTAGTATTAAGGAATTATAATGTACCTAGTAAAAATAAATTTGTGGTCTGCGTTTGAATTAATATAATATATAGAGCTTATTGGTATATATATGATCGTTTTATTATGTCAGGTGTGATAGTGGCAGGCTTTGCAAGGAGAGTGGAAAAAATTAAGGAAATCGCTGATAGTTTGGAAGATTCCTCAGGCAAACTCCATCCCGTGGAATGTGATGTTACTAAGGAGGAAAGCGTAGCCGTGGCTTTCGCGTGGGTAAAGGATAATCTTGGTCCGATAAGCGTTCTCGTTAACAGCGCTGGTATCACCAAAGAGTCTTCGCTCATAGGTGAAAATCTTTAATATTGGACAGAAGAGTTTAAAGAAAATGTATACGAATTCTTTTTTTCAGAAATAAAATAATGTTAACATTTCTTTACTTTTGAAAAAATTTTCAAGCGTTTTCCTCAAACTCTAATATCTAATCGGGGTATACAAAATAAATAATTATGTTCTAAAAAGATAAAATGCATTATTATAGAGAGCAATATAAAATACTGAATAGGGTTTAATTCTTCACGTTTTACAGATGGTGCTTTGGAGGACTGGCGATCCGTGATCGATGTGAATATTCTGGGACTTTGTCTCTGCACGCGCGAGGCTGTACGCATAATGCGCGAAACTGCGGCTAAAGATGCCATCGTGATTCACGTGAATAGTTTGGCTGGCGACAGGGTGCCCTTCGTTCCAGGATTCAGCGTATATCCGGCGTCAAAGCGCGCTATCACCGGCCTCGCCATGACTTTGCGACACGAGCTTGCAGGCACGCGTATACGCGTCACAGTAAGACATTTAATAAATGGAACGTAGCTGTTTCTCAAAACAATATATCCTTATTGCAATCATTTTAAATTCTCTCCTTGATATATTTTTGTTGTACAATTGATGAAGACTGCGAGAAATATGTATATATTTAAAATTGAGCAAGAGAAGCTTAAGATAAAAACGAACCCTTTTGTAATGATATTATATTTCTGTCATATGTAGAACATTAGTCCCGGTTTAGTTGCGACGGAATTCATGGCTTCCTATAGCATGTTCTCCTCGGAAGCAATGGCAGCAATGCCGACTTTGAATCCGGACGACATCGCAGCGGCGGTGATTTATGTTTTATCTAATCCTTCTCACGTGTTGGTATGTCTTTAGACAGTCTATACATTGCCTTCTTTGGTCATATAAAATAAAGTTTAAAAATAATATCTTTTTCTCTCAGATACAGGATGTCGTGTTGAGACCTCTGGGTGAATCGTGGTAAAAGTACCAACTTTCCAGACGATCAAACGCGAAATGTTGAATGTAATTAGAACAATTGTGCTTTTCACGAACTTTTTATGAAGTTAAAAAAGCGATATCATTTATGCTTCTTCATTCTGTATTTTCTTATTGTTTATATATATTTTAGCACAGCAGATTGAGATGAAAAATTCGCTCATATTAGTAGGAACCACATAAATATGTATAATAAAATATAAAAATGTAAATATAGTACCCTGTTGTGATTTGGAATTAAAATATAAATTATTTGTATACAGTGTGTGTTTATCTACATTATATTAAAAGATTAAGTCTCTAAATTGGATTTCGACTAACGCTCGAACTTCCTTGAAATAAAATGAACTTTGCGACTCATACACACAGTTACTGAATACTGCGCGTTGCTGGACGACGATGTTGTTGCTGCACTTCGTTAACGATACGTCTGCAGTATTGCAATGAACTTCTACCATGATTTTCGATCTTAGAGAGCAGTGATATATTCTGAAAGAATCAAAGATACACATAATACATGATCGACACAGATCATGTATTATGTATCTTTGATCGACGGAAGATGAACATGCGCGGAGATGCTCTCGCGCAATATTTACGATCAGTTACGAATTTTCCCGCTTAACAACACCAAACTTTGTATAACAATTTACTGATGAAACCACTTCGCAAAAGATCCTTCACGTTCTCTGAAACTTTTAATATAGTCTTCTTTAACAAAGATATCGCAGAACGTTTTATCGTTTTCTTCGGAAATCATGCAAATTTGTTTCGTCAGCATCCCTGATCACGTGCTATTTTTATTATAATCTGAAGAAGATACTGTTTTAAAATTAAACTAATTAATTCTGAATCCTGATGCTAATTTTACTCTTATTTTTGTAACCCTATTACTGATACTCTACCTATTGCTATAAGATAATTACGTATTGCTAAGTACATCTAATTATTTTATCAAAAATAATATTTATATTAAAAAATATTTTATATCTTATAGCATTCATGTATTTTAATACTTGATATAAAAGTTTATTTTGCGCCTTAAGCCTAAAAATGTTTAAAAATTAAATAACAAGTATTTTTTAAAGTTTATTAGAGAAAGCATATACATATAAAAGATGGATGTTATCGAAATAATTCTATCGCGTATTAAATGAAATATAAACACAGATGTTTTTTTAGGTTTTTGAGGATGATCTATTTTTAGGTCATCTTCAATGTTTACAGTAATAAAATTAAATTAAAATTATGTACAGAATCATTAAAAGCGCAATAAAAATTAAAAATTTATAACGGTTATAGATACAATTATTTCTGATAAAAGTTTAGGAGACAAATGAGCAAAGCCTGCTACCAATTAATTTTTGATTACAGAAAAGCAAATAGTACGCAGAATTTGTATCATCTGACACTGTCAGCAAATTGTTGTTAGAAATATGACAAAACCTGTTAGACTATGCTAGCAGATTGACAGTTGAACAAAGTCTGCATAATCTGACGGCAGATTAAGAGCAGACTCGAGCAAACGTTGCTTTGTTTCAGCAACCAAAATGTACTGGCATAGCAGACTTTTCGACAAATCCATACCCAAATGCGGATACAAATAGCTATGATTTTATAGTTAAAATCTGATCGAATTTGCTACCATTATATCTAACCGTTATAAGTTTTTAATTTTTATTGCTGCTTTAAATGATTCTCTACATAATTTTTATTACTGTGAATACTGAGAATAACCCCCCCCCCAAAAAAAGATAGTGTATTTGTACGTTTTATTTAATATATGATAGAACAATAATATTGTATTTTGCAATTTTATGATCTTTTTTTTAATAACTTTTATTTTTACAAAAACCGTTATATATTTTAAATTTAAGTATTTTTTACATATAAATCTCTATAATAAAATATAAAATTAAATATATATACATATAGTATGTACAATTTAAAATACAAATCTTTTTATGTATTTAAATGAGATTAATGTTTAAAAAATTGGAGAAAAAATACGAGACATATCGTAGATGTTGCAGCTATCCAAAATAACAAAACATTGACGAACACTTAAATCGTTATTTTCATTTAATAAATGATATTTCGTTTCCGTGATAATTAACGTTCACGAACGTATCTTAAGTGTTAACAACGACGATACGTCTTATCTTCAAACGAACACTGTGCTGTATTTCAGATGAAAGTATCCTGCCACGCGCCAAAAACAAGCGGTAATATCGTAAACAATATGCAATACCCGCACAGAAATGCATCATTCAAAAAGCAGTGAATTATCTAGACACAGATTATACGCGACCCCCTAATCGAGGTCCAGACTTTTAGCATGGTATAAATAGGTGTCGGGGATGTGGATCGACAGAAGCTTCTCGTCACAGTGAGCAGCAATTCAGTCTCATTCCTTTGAATTAAAGCGAAACCTGCAGTATGAGTACTCTAACGAACAAGATCGCCCTTGTCACCGGTGCCTGCTCCGGAATTGGTAAGGCAGTCACCGAGGAATTGGTATCAAAGGGACTTAAAGTTATTGGCCTCTCCAGTGACATAAACAAGCTAAAGGTACATTTAATGTCAAAAATATAATCGAATTGCATATAAATTATGATTATACGGTCTCTTTGATGCTACAAATGCTTCGAAGCATTCTTTGATTATTCAATTAGTAAAATTCTTCCGACTGCTTAATCAAATGCTTCGAAATAAATTTGTAGCGCAAAGTACACTTTATCATTTAATAATAAAAAAAGTCATATTAATAAATTATAAGTTAGTCATCTCTGTTATGATCTCTGTAGCTTCTCGTGGATGAGCTGAAGGGCAAACCTGGCAAATTCTATCCTCTTCAATGCGACTTGAGTCTCCCGAACGAGATCGAAAGTGCATCGGAGTGGATAGAGAAGAACCTGGGTAGTGTGGACATCTTAGTAAACAGCGCTAGCATCAGCTTAGATTGGTCCATCATCAATGGTGGTATACAGGAGCTTAAGAAGACTATTGATATCAACTTACTCGGCTTATCGCTTCTAACCAAGAAGATTCTGCAATTGATGAAGAACAAGGGTAGGTATTAAGAAAAATTGGAAAAAAATTATTTCTATATCTGAATAAAAAAAATGTTTTTTTAGAAGTCGACAACGGCTGGATCATTAATATTAACGACGTATGTGGACTGAAATGGTTGCCTCTTGCCTCCGACCGGCCTCTTTCCCCGGCATATGCTGCCAGCAAGTCAGCGTTGACCGCATTGAGTGAATGTCTTCGTCTAGAATTGGCCCAAAACGAGTCCAACATCAAAGTAACTGTAAGTAACTTTGAATGATAAAGTTAAAACTTTTCAAATTAACACCTCAACATTTTACTTGATGTCATCGAAATAAAGTATCGTTTTCTTTAAATTCTTACAAAGTAAAATATATTACTATATTCAAAGTATAATATTAAGAAAGTTATTGCTTAAAAGTAATAATTTTTAATTAAATAAAAATAAATATTTCGATAAAAGAAAAACTGAAAATTCGTTTGGCAATCTATTTTTCTTTGATATCCATTAACAATTTATTCTCTTGCAATAGAATATCTGTCCGGGATTGGTGGAGACTGAGCTCAACCAACAATGGTTAAAGGAAAATTCACGATTGGCACTGAAACCAAAAGATGTGGCGGACGCTATTCTCTACTCGTTGCAGACTCCGGAGAACGTGCTTATCAAGGATCTCATTATTACGCCCATTCGGGAGATTAATTAAGATCGGACAAAATCGTTGTCTCATTGTAGTATTTAGAACACGTATCTTGTGGCAAATCAAATAAAACATTAATAATTTTCAAATATAAACATGAATTTGTCGTATTAACAATATGCACATTAATTTGTCGTATTAACAATATAAAAATTAAATAAATTGAGCTCTCTCGAGATAACAATAAAAATATGCATTAATTGACGGACAATTGAGAGCAATAATAGGCGCAGAGAGTTATTCGTACGTATAATTGACAAATGTATTTCTCGAAGATCTTACATTATAATGGATAAAAATTGATCTGGACTCGGCTCCATTCGAGCCATCATAAGCGATGTCAAAATAATAGAATCCAAATTTTAATTTAATCGCAGCAATTAAGTCCAAGAGAGCAGCTGAAAGAGCCTCCTCAATTCCACATTTGAGAAGCATCACTGTCAATTAGCTGTTTAACTAACAATAAGTAAGCACTAAAGATTAATGTAGTGAATAATTAATTCTTATTTCTTAAAACAGTGATAAAAAAATAAAATATCAAGTAACGAAGTCTTAATAAATAACATCAACACTGCTTTTATATTTTCGCGTATTGATCATCGTGACAATTTTTTAAAACTTCAATGCATAGAGTTTATAAATTTATTCTTTTCAATGACACTTTTCGCACTTTTTTTCTCTTATCTGACTTTTTGTTTTAAATATACATATATTTTTTTCGTATATCAACGCAAAAACGCATAAATAAATAAATGGCTTTGTTAGCTATTAATGCGTTACCTTTTCGATACGTTCAAATAGAATAAATCTCTTATTATAAACAGGTATAAATACAATTATTATTTAAAGATTTCCATATTAAATGCGTGCTTAATTTTATAGTTTTGAACTTTAAAAGGACATGCGACTATTCAGCCTATTGTATAATAATAGGGCAAACAATCAAACTATACAATAAAACTTTCAAGTATAATACTTACCCACAGTGAAACGATGGTCACCACTTTTTTATTTACAAGTCTACGAAGGCATTAATTTGTATTTTAAACGCGTGATATTACTTTAAAGTAGATCTGTGTTTGGAGGCGATAATTGAAGAAAAATTGTATAAAACTATTATTGTTCTTAACATATTTATTTTTAATTCTCATTTACCAGCTTAATAGTTCACAAGAATTTTCTAGAAGAGTAAGGTACTGTATAAAGAAAAGAATTGCAAAGAAGCGACCTTAAGAGAAACCTATTTAATGAAAGTGTGAAGCAATCGGTGTTATATTTAATTGTGAAGTACATCCTAAATTGTATGTCCTGTACAACGCAGAAAATATTTAAATATGTACAATGCGCGGATAATAAAATTTTATATATAGCAGATAATAAATTTGTATGCAATATAACAAAAACGCGCAATAGAGAAACTGTTATTATCAATTTTTTATAATTGTATTTTGAATTTTATGGATAAATACACACTATGCAAGACTGTTTATAATTCGATGCTATTCATATTCTCCTTATTGCTACACAGCGTTTGTATAATTAACTATAGAAGAATAATACACATGTGTATATAATAACACAGAACAACACATAAAATATTAAAAATATACTTATCTGTGATGTTAATTGAACAAAAGAGGCAAAATGTTATCAACTAGTTACTATTGTTGCGAAGTCTGTCGTGTGAGTTATGCATGACAAATTTCACAACAATGAAAATAAAGCTAAACACAAAGAGGATCGGTTATTAATGCAAACACATTTTAAGACTTTTATCGAGGGCAGGCTTTATATTGCGTGTTACTAAGTTGCATTTGTCTTGTTGGTGATAAAAATGAAAATACGAAAGAATATTTTCGAAGAGAGCATGCAGAAATAAATATCGATAATATCTCAGGTATAAACTGATTGCACAAATACCTTACAGCCATCATCTTATCCGCTTTTCATTTCATCCGTGAGAAAAATGACATCCAATTATCTTGTCAATTGATCCCGCTAAACACGAGTCCAAATTCCGTATCCGACCTAGGAGATAAATCCGTGAACCCTATGAAGCGTGAACGATATCATGCTTCCAAATCCACATTCTTCCACATCGCATATCGTTCCCTTAATGAATCCGAGTGATCCGGTGAATACAGCGCAGGTAATTTTTATCCTTATCCAAAAACATCCGTCCATGCATACTAATTTATCCCGTTTCGAATCCTGACAGCATCCTAATCCAAACATATCCGGAGAATCCTGTCCGTCGTACCGTTTGTAAGGAGTTCCTCTAAAATTATGAGGCCGGTTCCCGTCAAGATGACAGACAGGTAGTGTTACTCAAATGTACCATCCTCTTGTGTATGTCAGTTAAATCCTGAAGACACTGTAGTTTACAATGTACGCGAGAAAAAGATGCACTTGACGATCACGATCGGTCGAGAAAACGGCAATAGTTATCAGAAAACACGTTTTTTTTTTTTTTTTTTTTTTTTTGATAATTGGACTTTAGATCGCCGATATTATCGAATGTAAAATTATTAGACATGCAACGGTCTTTCCAAAGAATCACTTCCACCTTTCAAATAATCACTAAATACGAAACGTTTTGTATATAATGGCTAACAAAATTGAATTTAGTATTGATGTTATACGTTGTATCAAGAAGAGGATAAATATCATGCAGAAAATCCATCCTTAATGAGTGATCCGAAAAATTAATCTCTTCACTAAAGTTCAAAAAACTTTAGTTATAAACCAAACAAAATCCAGTTATAGTTGACAATCCATTACTAGTTTGACTCAGATTATAAATGATGAATTAATAAACGCGCGAAATGCTTTTTTTTCTTTTTAAATCGATACGCGGAAATAATATGTAACTGGAAGCACTTTAATCCTGATAAGCACATAACATAATGAGGAAGTTCCACTCTCGTTATGTTTCTCTTTAAAACAGCGACACACAAAAATATTTAGTTTCAAACTGGGATTCTACTAGTTTTAAAAAGAAATATTAATCGGCATTCATCGCCTCCTCGTAATGGACTTGCCAACGTTTCCTGAGCCAGCAATTGAGAATCCTTTCTCCTGATCCTGAATTTCCTCTTGAAAGTATCCTGTTTCGCTATTCTCATTTTCATCTATGTCTTTTAATCCTTTTATAATTTATGCTCTCCGTATCGCAAATCCTCCAAAACGCAATCCATTTCATCCCAACGTCAAGCGAATGTGTATTATATCCATCCAAGAAGTAAGATCGTGTTGATTTCAGTTTTTCATTCATTGTGTTACAATCCCAATATACAAAAGAAGAAAAAATACATTAGTTTCTTATGTTATGTGAATTAATATTAGATATAGTTTATTAATGCAAATATAATGCCTGTGATATATAAAACTATAGCGTATATCTAATACATACTGTATGACATAAAATTGTAAACGTTGTATTTTTGGACAAAAAAATGGTATAGTGAGAATTTATTAAATAAACTAAGATCACAGGATTAATTTGCAAAAACAACATGAAATACACGATATTTAATGTTTTCCTTTCCAATGTGTGTCAAGAGTTTTAGGATATAATAAAAATTTTCAAATGTGCATTTAATTATGCGGTTGTTGCAAATATAAATGAAAGGAAAACACACGAACAGAAGAAATGCGAACGACAATATATTAATTAGTAATTATTTCACCGCATTTTTCACCGAATTTTTTGTGTATTACTTGAAATTTATTTTCATCTGGATTATGCTGTAAATGTCCAGATTATTCATATATGTATATAATGAGCACATAATGCTGTATGTTTTTACATCAAATGTTAAAGATCTATAAGTCAGATATTTTGTACTGAAATAACATGAAACGCAATTTGTGTGCAAAATCAGGAAATGACCTATAAAATATTAAAGATCATCCATCTATTACATTGCGTGTAATAAAGCGAATTAGATTGTATGGGAGTGATAATAAAAGTTTTTTTGTGCCAATATAATTATGTGTGTGTGGTATATAATAAATGTTAATTGTTACACTCATATTTTCCATTATGTGTATATGCGCGATATAGTGTCATCACTACTGATTCGATTTGGAATTATTTTTTTCAAACGATAAGTTACGTAAATGAGAATCGTGTAAACAATCTTGAGGTATTTATTTCTATATACATGTTATTTGTTAGAGTTTATGTATATAATCATATTCTAAATAAAAATATATTTCGTAAGACAAATACATAGCATGTTATTCTTTAAATTTGTTTACTTTTTATTGCTAAAGACGCATGTATATACATAATATGCAATATATACAATACGTGTATAGTATATATTGCATATTATGTATCTTTTCTTAAAATAAGAATTTTTTAAAAGTTTATTGGAAAATACGCTAAAAAAATCTGCAGCTAGGCAATAACGCACAACTTTTAACATTCATGAGATACTAACACCACAGTTGTTCCACTTCAATTATGTAGTATGTTAAATTCAGGCGATTAGATATGAAGCATCTATCATATTATAATGTAAAATTACTGTGTTACTACAATAATATCAGTAACTTTAAAACTTATGACGAGAGAAAGGCATCTTAAAGTATATTTATTAGCAGGATTGACAAACACTAATGTTTATTTTTTTAAGAATAAAACATTGTTTTTTTAAACATGTTTTTAATGCTTCAAATACGCTTTAAACCATATTATTAAAAAAGCATATTTAAAACATATTAAAACTATCGATTAAGCATGTTTTAAAGTGTTTAAAACATATTTAAAACATGTTTTTTCCCAACCCTATTTATTAGTATAAATATATAAGGTATATTTCAATGTGTCAGTATAAACAGTTTACCCATATTCCTATGTGTTCTATGATAAAGTTTAGAACTTTTATAATATGGTAGATAAAATTGTTTTAACAAGTATGAAGATGATTTAGACTACAAAGGATGTTAGTAAATTCAAATGACAGTTGAGAGATTATCAGTGAAAAACTTTTGTGTTAGGCAAGCTTGAAAATTTCATGTTTTACTATGCAGTACATCCAAGTACAAATTAAAACTTAAGGGATCCTAAAGCAACGGGAATGACCGA